ATAAGCACCCTATGATTGAGCTAATTTTCTAATGTGAAAATTGTTGAACACTGCACGATAACTGCGAAGGCGCATTATTTATTTTTCTACAGGCACGTGGAATTAACTCATTTCCAGTGAAAATTTCTTTCCGTATTGTTTTAATAATGTTTGCTTGAATATATTACTCACTAATTATATATTTTTTTATGTAAAAATGCCTTGTTCTGTTAGCTTAATTTGATTGGTCGGATTTGTAAGAAGCTTAGTTGAATTGAGTAAGAACAAAAAAGTGTGTAACTTAACATCGTGAAAAACAGTTGTGGAGAACCGAATTAAGAATTATATGAACATAGCGAAATACTGGTTTTCTTGAGTTGAATCTTAGATAAACTTTCGACCTTTTGAACTAGCGAGTATGGAAAATGATTTTCCCAACAAATAAACACGCAAGGAACTGGACACTACGCGTGATGTCAACGTGATCAATGTGTGGGGGTTTACTTGACATTTCGTGACCTTTTTATTATAGCCATATTTGGTAATATGTTGATGTTTTGTTTTGTTGATAGTTTTTAAGCATGTTTTCCACGTCTTGCAGTCAGTTAGGGCGTAACATAGTTTCAGAGAGAGACTTAAAGAGTCATCAACGCAAAAAAATGACATCGCCAAAAAACATTTTTCGTCGTTCTAGTTTGTTGTCTGAACAGCGAAGACTATCGCAAAATGGCTCAATGTTGTCTGGAATACAGAAAGGGGGTCTAATTTAGGGGAAGAAAGCTGAAGCGAGCAAGGGTACGGGTGCCTGCAAACGCGGGTCGTCTGGAGGCCAATACCGGAAGATTTGAACGAGCGCGTGAATATCGTCACAATCGATGAAGATTGAAAACAAACCAATTTTCAACGAACTTAGCGCCAGGGGCGGCCTGGCCGGTCGGGCTACCGGGCGTGAGCCCTCCAAAAATTTTTTGCAATTTTTCTTCATTTTACTATGAAATGACAACTTGGATTGTTTAGTAAATGCCCGCAAATGCCCGATTGCGCGATGTCCGTCGATCATCTTTCTTGTCTTAATGCGCAAAGCCATTGCATAAAGATCGTAAACATTGTTTTTTCATGTACGACTTCTAGTTTTTCGTCAAGTTTGGGCGTCCAAAATTTTAGTCAAGTTTAAGATGCGCGAATTATAGGGTAATGTGGGGCAAAATGAGACGCTTAAGCAAATTTTCAACATCTTTTCAAACATGAAGATGTGGATATAAGAATAGAAGGCTATGACATGGTGTTTCAACTACAAGATTTACAATAACAGAAGCAAAACCTATCTACCATGTTTAAATTGGAGAATTTCCCTTTCTACTTTCAATAAGTCTTATGTCTCATTTTACCCTGCACTTGGGGCAACATGAGACACACTATAAACCCTTGTTCATAACTCTTGAAAATCAGCATTGCTTAGTAAAATTTAGTTGTATCATTGATATGATGCTCCAAAGCATCAGAGGGGGGGGGGGGACATGGCCATATGACATCCCCCAAATATTTTTCAAAAGTGTGAAAAACTGCTTACTAAGGTTCATAAACTGATTAATTGTATGCTATCTGATGCATATAAAAAATTTATTGCCCAAAAGCTTCTGGGGGCTTATCCCAACATCCCAAACACATACCTTTTCTTCCTAATATCAAATTAATTACAATTTTTTCTGATTTTACATCAGCACTTTATGTGAATTTTGATATTGCAAGAAAAATTGAAAAGGCAACTTAAAGATCTGCAAAAATCAACAAAACTAGCAACTCTAAAAGCAACTGTTATATTCAGCATAAGTCACATATATGCCCTTCTGCACCCTTCCAAGAGCATGTTTGGTAAGGCCAGAATGAACAGCGAGCACATTTGACCCAATTTTCACCTGGTACAGCATCGGGCCACCATAAGCCACACACAAAACATTCAGTATCTTCCCTTTAATCAATACCAGAAACAGACTTGCTTTGTGTTCTGGCTCTGGTTATTCATTATTTGCTTTTACTCTTTGAGATTTGCTCTCCATTTTACCTTTGTTGCGTTTTCTACTGGCACTACGTGTTTTTTTGCACTTTTACCTTTTTTGCTTCTTGATGGGACAAAAGCATTTTTTTGTATGGCGAGCTTGTGATGATTTGTGAGCATTCTGCTTTCCATTTTTTGTAGCCTGCAGCTCAGGAAATGGTACAATGTCTGTGAAGCTTTTTTGGTCTGCCCTGAAAGTGCCTCGCTGTTGAAATGGCGGTAGCCGTGGATGCATGCCAGTTTTCATTATTTAGCTGGAGTTTTGGTATTTCTTAAAATATAGCGAATTGTATTGCGCTGATGTGCGTTTTGGTCTTAGAAATGAGGTATTTACGAATAGACCTTTCGAACAAGGTATAAAACTGGTAAATTGGCTTACTGGTTGCAACATTCGCCGATTCCCCGATTTCCCGATTCCCTGATTTCCCGATTTCCCGATTCCCTGATTCTCCTATTACCTTTTTTAGTAATAGCCCATATTTTGACTGATGAACAGAAACCGACGAAAAATCGATTGTGTATTTCAGTTTTTATTTTAGGTACAGTAAAAACCCGCATAAAAGAACCTGTTTTTTTTATTGAGGCTGAAATTTAACCTTCTGAAACCCCAAAATGAAGAACCCCCAGGAGGCTGAAATTTGGAAAGGTTTTTATATATATGTAAGAAAAAAGGGTTTTTAGAGCAAATCAGATTATGGTATGTTGCATTCTGATTGGACAATCTAACAACATCAATTCATTAGATTGGCTGAAATCTAACATAAAAAAGGCTGGTTTAAGTGTGTCCATTAGAATTCTTGCGGTGGAAAACATTGTTAATGTATACAAGGCCTGTACGTATATAAGAACCTTGTTAAGAACCTTTTAGACTGGAATTTAGAATAACCTATTCAGGCTGTTAGAAGAAAACCTAGGTTTCTCAAACCTAGTGTCTCCCGAAGACTCAGCCTGAGTTTCCACACTACAAACAGAAATATATTGACGTGACTTCAAACTGTATCTTGACGTGCGGCATAAAAAATAGATGTAATGAAGATTTCCATCGGAAATGTCAAGGAGGTAGAAATAGCCCCAACTGCTTTTAACTTGTGATCCCTTACTATATACCTTTCAATTATGCAAATGAAAAGTGATCGACAATCAATCACGATGGAATTGAACTGTTCCTCTCTCTTTGTCTCCTCTTCCTCCCAATTTGAAGCAATTCTTCTTAACTGATACACGATAGAAAGGTTTTGAAAGGTGATTTTCTTATATTTCCCTTGACTATCAACAACATTGTTCTGTAGGGAAAGGGGTGTTGTACTAGTTGGAAACGGTTATTCGAAATCAAAGGAGAAAAACCAGAACCAAGCCATTGATTGTTTTGCGAAGTACTGACTGGCATTTGAAAACGCTCAATCTTCGAAAGCTCTTGAAGGGCTTGCTATTTTTTGAGGGGCTTAAAAAGGGGGCGTATCAGCTAATATGACATTCGCTACATGAATACCTCACTAAAAAAGTTTTCAAGTTCCTTTTTAGACAGGACATATAGCTTGACAATCTGACATTCAAGCTAATGTTTGCTTTCTCAACGGATTCTTGTAGTAGAGAGTCCAGGCTTTCATAATCTGCCAGGTGACTTTTTTAAAATGTCTGGATGTCACGGGACTGATGACGTCATTTAACGGTAAAAAATCAGACAAAATCATTGCTAGCTCTTTACTGAATTGTTATTTTTTGACACAAATTGAATATTTTGACTCGTCTCATTGCAAACTTTTAATTGATATATATTTAAGGATTATTTGCCGCCATTAGTATTTTTATTATGACGTCATCAAACAATGTGCATGACGTCTTCAAAGATCTTTTTGTCATTGAATGATAAGTTGGCATAACTTTGTATTAATATGAGGCTGGATGAAAGCAAAAGCATTTCATCCATAATTTTTTCAATCAAATAATTAGTATTTAGATCATTTAAATTACATTTGTGCAAACTACAGTAGCCAAAGTTCGAATAAGGTAGTACTATCTGAAGAGTCAGTCACTTCTTCCTCCGTAGTTGCAAAGTCTTGCTCCCACTCTGAACCGGACAATAATTTCTTTGCATCTGCATTTGACTGTTGCACTTAGTCGGAAGAACGTCTTAAAAACTATAGGCTATCCAAGATGCCCTCGCACTGGGCTGAAGGTACATGACTTTCTTCAATAAGACTATCTTCTGCTGCGAAATATGACCATCTCATCAATACTCCATCTGGCATTTTCTAGTGGTAGATTTACATATGGATTTGACTCCTAGCACATGGAATTAAGAAGAACAGCTTCATTTCCTTGTCACAGTACACCTTCAGGCATTGCAAGGCTAGAGTTATGGTTTTGATGGGATATGCAAATGCCTTTTCGATAGAGGCAGCCTTGCCAATCACGAAAGCTTGGTGGCCTTCGTTCATTATTGAGACTACTTTCGATGTTTTCTTGGATCTTTGTACGCACGACAAAGTAGAGGTGAGTCATAAAGGCAAGTGCATAAAAAAGTTTAGAGCAAAAGATACTCCAAGGTGAAAAGGGTTTTTTACAATGATGCAAACAAAGAGAATCTAATAAAACTTGCTCCCAAATTATTTCGAAGCGCTGAAGGTCACAGGCTCCAGACAATTCCATTGGTCATAACTGTTATAATGCGTACGTCACAACCTCGTTTTCGTGCTAATGCGAGATAGGTGTGACAGTTTTGAGTTAGTTGAGTTCACGAGTTGAGTCGAGTCGAGTTCGCGAGTTATGGAGTTTACAACAGAGTTTTGAGTTATTGCTTTAATAATGTAAATAGTTGTTATGTTTATGAAAATGAGATAAAACCAAGTTCAAGCTCATCTTTGCAGCCCACGTCTTACAATCCTCACATCACATGGCGCCCAAGCGCGAGGGCATATTTGCAGATGAAGTTTGAATAGAGTATTCGAGTAAACAAACGAGAAAGATGACGACCGAGTCTACCAACTACGATCAATTAAAGAGGCTGATTCAAATTCGACGAGGAAATAGTTCCGTTGTCACTAAACTAGAGAATGAAGTTTCGTCAATAATTTCGAGAGTTAGTGCCAGTGAAGCTTCTAGCAATTCAGCTACAAAGGCTAACTTATTAGCAAGAGTCGAGTCTATTTCAACATCCCTGAAGCAGAAACATCAATACATTACGGAGTTGAACGAACAAATAATCAACAAAATCGACACACCGCTCAAAGACAAAGAGATCGATGAGACTTCAGAATGGGATGCAACGGTTTTTGAAGTTATCAACAAAATTGAGCAAATAAAGTTGGGAAGTTATACGCGAGATCCACAGCCCCCTGGCATACCGATTGGCCAGATCGAGAGTAACACACAGCAAGAGGAACAGGATAGAAGTTTCAGTTCAAGCTTTGTGGCCCAAAATGCGGGCATTCGGCTGCCTATATTGAGAAGGCGTTTTTGCAAATAGAGATCAAAGAGTCAGATCGTGATTCTTTGCGCTTTTTGTGGTTTGACGATATAACACGTTCAAACCCGTCGGTAGTTGAGTTCCGCTGGTGCCGCCTAGCCTTTGGCCTCAAACCTTCGCCTTCGATTTTAGTGGCCACGATTAAACAACATATTTCATCATTTGATGATGAATGCCCGGAGGTGGTTAATGTTTTGAGCCATCTATATGCCGACGACCTTTCGTGTAGTGTTAATACTAGAGAAGAGGCATTTCATTTATACAAGAAATCAAAAGAAATTCTAGCTAAGGGCGGCTTCAACTTACGTAAGTGGAAAACAAACGACAAGGCACTCTTAGCACGTATCCAAGCGGTCGAAGGCTCTAACGTTGGGGCAAATGAAAATAACAGTGAGCCTCAAGTTGCAGAGGACGATCAGTCATATAGCAAATTTAGTATAGGGCTTCCCACCACGGACCACACAACTAAAATATTGGGGGTAAACTGGCGACCTGAGGCAGATGAGTTGTTTTTCGATTTACACCAAGTACACCAATTTGCTAAGCAATTGCCGCCAACGAAACGCTCCTTATTGAAGGTCGCCGCAAAAATATTCGATCCTCTAGGGTGTCTTAGTTTGTTCACAATAAAACTAAAGGTTTTCTTTCAGGAGTTGTGCATCGCGAAAGTTCCCTGGGACGAACCGTTATTAGGCGACAACCTTAAGCGTTACGACACATTAATTTCAGATATCAGTGGCGTTAAGGGTATCAAATTACCACGTAGTTTTGCGAAGCTAGGGCAGAGGGTCAAAGCAGTCGAAAAACATGCCTTTTCAGACGCTAGCGAGCGGGCCTATGCTAGTGTTGTATATTTACGCGTTTTGTATGAATCGGGGGAGGTCGAAATTCAATTTGTTTCTTCGAAAGCCAAGGTATCCCCCATCAAGAAACAAAGTATCCCTCGCCTTGAGCTATTAGGGGCAACACTTATGGGCCGTCTTGTTAATTCTGTGCGTAACGTTTTGCAAGAAGAGTTTCCAACTACGCCATTAAAAACATTCTATTGGGTTGATTCCATGGCCACGCTATGCTGGATTAAAAACAAGAAGGTGTGGAAACAATTTATTCGCCATCGCATCAATGACATTTTAGATGTTTCCAATAGGGAGGAATGGTTTTACTGCCCTGGACCCCAGAATCCAGCAGATTTGCCATCGAGGGGTAAGGTTGGGTCTTCTCTATCCACTAATTCTTTCTGGTGGGAGGGTCCTGAGTTCCTCAAGCTCGACCCCAGTGAATGGCCACAACCCCCAAACGAGTTTACAAGTTCAGAGGCAATGGAGGAGAAGGTAAAGTATGACCCTGAAGTTACCCACGTTATGGTTAATTCAGAAGAGCCAGTATCCTTAAATCTGGAAAGTGTTTTCGACATTCGTAAATACAGTAGCAAAGGCAAGTTGTTAAGAACTCTTTCTTGGGTTTTGCGCTTCGTAGACAATTTAAAAGCAAGGCTAAGTTGCAAATCGATTAACAAGGAAAACGAAATATCGGCAGACGAAACTTGCAGAGCTGAGATGGTCATTGTTAAGTCTATTCAAAACCAAGCATTTAAGATAGAATTGCAGTATCTTTCTAAAGATAATAAGAGTAGAAGTAAGGCGCCACTGTATGTAAGCCAATTCAATCTTTTTCTGGATGAGCACGGAGTATTGAGGTGTAGATCTAGAGTAAACAAATCTTCGGTCATTGATTCAGGGAAAAATCCCATCTTACTTCCCCCAGGTAATCATTATGCCTTCTTATTAATTCAAGAGTCGCACAGAATGGTATTTCACAATGGAACGCGTGAAACATTAAATTTGTTGCGTCAAACGTATTGGGTTCCACGAGGCAGAGAAATGGTAAAGAAATATGTTCGCAAATGTCTTTTATGTAAGAAACTAGAAGGGTTGCCATTTCGTACAACTTTCAACCCAGATTTGCCGCAAGCTCGAGTAGACGACGGTCCACCATTTTCAAATACTGGTCTCGATTTCGCAGGGCCCCTTGTCGTCAAGTATGCAGGAGACACCACTAAAAAGTGTTATGTTTGTTTATTCACCTGTATGTCTACAAGAGCGATTCACCTTGAATTAGTAGAGTCATTAGAGGTTGATGCGTTTTTTAAAGCATTCCGAAGATTTTGCGGTCGTAGAGGGTTACCTTCTACCCTTTGGAGTGATAATGCCAAAACATTTAAGTCAGCAAGTATAGAAGTTAAGAAGTTACTAAGATCACCCAGGTTTTACGAGTCCTTGTCTCTGAGATGTGTTGAGTGGAAATTTATAACGGAAAAAAGTCCGTGGGAAGGTGGAGTATGGGAAAGGTTAATTAGAAGTGTAAAGAGGTGTATTATAAAAATCATTGGTCGAGCCCTATTAGACTTTCACGAAATGCGTACAATGCTAGTAGAGGTTGAGGGTGTTATCAATTCACGCCCCTTAACTTACGTACACGACGATACCGAGGGAATCTCGTACCCATTGACCCCCTCACATCTTATAAACGGGAGAAATTTGTTGCATTTGCCTCAATACAGATACCTAGAAATTGTGAGTGTTTATGAAACTTTATCTAAACGTGCGAGATATAGTAGATTTCTTTTAGGTCAGTTTACACGGAGATGGAGAAACGAATATTTATTAGGGTTAATGGAAGCATACAGGCCCACCAAATATCAATCAAAGCCAAATGTTGCAGTTGGAGATGTAGTGTTATTGAAAGATGAGAGCAAGAAAAGGAGTTTTTGGAAAATCTGCCGCATAGAAGAGCTCATAGTAGGTAAAGACGAGGTGGTAAGGTCAGCGATTATCCGACTAGGATCAGACGATGGCAAAATAGGTAAGAAGACTTTACGTCGCCCTTTAAAGTTACTAATACCATTAGAAGTAAAAGCTAACCATTTGACAGATTCTTTTCAAAATCCTCCTACGCAGTTGCCATTGCAGCCAGCAGCGCAATCGCCTTCGCAGCAGCGTACGCAGTTGCCTATGCAGGCAAACACTAGACCTAGACGTAGAGCAGCAGTTTTGGGAGAGACAGTTCGAAGACAAATTATGCATTAACGTTTTTGCAGCATATTATCTTTAACTTTGTTATTGTTCTAATTTTGTTATGTGTAATCAAGTTAAGTCAATACTAATATCTTTAGTTAATTTGGGTTTGATCATGTCATGATTCAAACCGGGGGAGTGTGTTATAATGCGTACGTCACAACCTCGTTTTCGTGCTAATGCGAGATAGGTGTGACAGTTTTGAGTTAGTTGAGTTCACGAGTTGAGTCGAGTCGAGTTCGCGAGTTATGGAGTTTACAACAGAGTTTTGAGTTATTGCTTTAATAATGTAAATAGTTGTTATGTTTATGAAAATGAGATAAAACCAAGTTCAAGCTCATCTTTGCAGCCCACGTCTTACAATCCTCACAACAATAACTTACGGGGAGGAAGCATTGGAGACTTATAAAAGCAAGTGGAAGTCCTTCAAGGAGGAAAAAGGCTGAAACCAGAATGATTTTGCATGCTAACTCGAAAGATGCAAAAGTAGTTGTTGTTGCGAAGGATACTGATGTATTTGTGATGCTTGTTCATGCAATGTAGGAGTGCAAACCCACTAATGAATGGTTCATGTGCATAAACAACAAACAAATCGTCGAAATTTGAGGCATCGCTGAAACTTTGGTACCAAAAATTGCTGTGTTCTTCCACAGATCCATGGAATTATGGGCTAAGACTCTCAGAAAGCGTTATCGCCGACGCAAAGACATTCGCAAAACTGTAGAACATAGTGGAACACTATACTGAAGCCGCTTAGGGACAAGGATTCGTATTTATCAAATTTGAAAACAAAGTCATCTGCAGCAGTTCCACAGATCTACATCAGAGAAGAATTAAATTGTGTCAGCTTAACAAGGTTATTTTGGCTACAGTGTTTCGATGCAATTACTACAAGACATGTCCCAAAAACCTGCAGTTGAAATTCGGACGACATACTTGATCGTTTAAAGTCTAAATGGTCCGCAGGAAAGCAGCTTCCCCATCTCAAAAGAAGTAAAAAAAAAACATCGAAGGTGTGAAAAGAAAGCTTCCTTTACAGCACAAGGATATGAAGATGACTGAGAAGATGAATTTACCCCTGAAGGAAATCATGAACCTTCATACCCAGCGCTAAAGACCTATAGTGCGAAGACATCTTGGACAGTCTATAATAGTGCGAAGACATTCTATTCTTCCAATTCAGTGCAACAGTCAAATGCAGATGCAGAGAACTTATTGTCCGGTTCAGAGTTGGACCATGACTCTGAACCAGGCAATAATGCCTTCCGAGGAAGAAATGACCCACTCGTCAGGTAGTGACTACCTTATTCGAACTTCCTTGGCTATTGCGGTGCGCACAAATTTAATTCAAATGATCCAAATACTAATTATTTGGACGAAAAAATTATGAAAGAAATGCTTTTGCTGACATCCAGCGCCAAAATAAAACAAAGTTATGCCAATGTATCATTCTATGGCAAGATCTTTGATGACGTCATGCAAAATTTTTGATGACGTCATAATGAAAATACTAATGGCGGCAAATCATTCTTAAATATACATCAATTAAAAGCTTGCAATGAGACGAGTCAAAATATGTAATTTGCGTCAAAAAATAACACTCCAGTAAAGAGCTAGCGATGGTTTTGTCTGATTTTTTACCGTTAAATGACGTCATCAGCCCTGTAACATCCAGACATTTTAAAAAAAGTCACCTGGCAGATTATGAAAGCCTGGACTCTCTACTACAAGAATCCGTTGAGAAAGTAAACATTAGCTTGAATGTCAGATTGTCAGGCTATATGTCCTGTCTATTTGGAAAACGAAGCATGCTGCAATTTCGAGAAAATTGTGATATATTAACCATAAACCAAGGGGCTCCTTCTTCTGTCTGGAATTTGCTTGTGAGTAGTGCGGGATGTTTACCGTCGTTTCTAAAAGACTGAACACTCCAAGAACAGGCTGAACACCCCATGAACACCCCCATGAACACCCCATGAACACCCCAAGAACACCCTAAGAACAAGCTGTTAAGCGGCTGAACACCCTTTAAAACATATCAAAATCAGCATATCGTTCGACAAATAATTTGGTCAATCAATCAAAATTAATTTTGGGGCGGGAAAGGGCCTGATAAGTCTGATGCTGTTGATGTTGTTTCAACCAACTGATGTTTTGCGCGCCAAATGTGTGAACGGGGGTTCGTAAATTGTTGTGTGGCTAATGCTACCATGGTTCCTTATTTTTACAATATATAGTTGCCTAGGAAGCTGAGAGGAACCGCAACACCCACAAAAACAAGCAAATTCTCGACAAAAGCCCTTAAAATTGTGCTTTAACCGACGACTTTGGGCGCTCGCCCCAAAACCCACGCAATTTCTGCCACATACATAGTTCAAGTAAGATAATTATGGTCCTATTCGAGCACGGGCCCCAAAATTTGCCCCTCCTAAGCCCTCTTTTAAGTCGCATGCTGTGGCCCTGTCGCTAAACTCTAACAAGTCCTACACTGTGCATTTTCTGTTTCATTTGTCAAAAATTCCTTATAAAAATCCTATCCAGGAATTGGGCCAGCGAGTGCACCAGCTGGAGACGTCACTGCCTGGAGAATAACACCACAACAAGAGAGGAGGTGTCTCGTTCTGCTTGCACTAACTAGCTAGCGTGCACTAGCATATCGTGTGCCGTGACCATTTGGGCAAATTAGCGGATGGGAAGAACAATTGTTTGGAGGACAAAAGGTAGTCAAGTGACATTGTCACTGGATATGAAAGATTTGATATAACGGGAAATTGCTTTAATCCACAAAGGGAGTCAAACTCGAATTTGCTCCGCGTGTACAATTCCCATTCCAGTGCCTAATTTAGTGTGGTCTTGTACGCTAATAGTGGTTTTGAAAATCCAAATTGTGGTCTTGAAATCAAGAATAAGTGGGAGTATTGTCTCTCTATGCGTTATGCTTATTAAAAAATCTTAAAAGTAAATGTGAATTTCATTCCTCCATGGGGTATTTTTTCATATCATATTCTAATCATTTTACACTTTTTTTATAAGAACCAGTAAATTTCAGTTCAGGCTGACTGTTCCTAATTTTTTCGAAAATTTGAGGCTGGATTGTTCTTAATTTGTTCTTAATTTAATAGGTTGTGAGCAGTGCGAGTGCTAGCTTGTTCGCTCTAGGGAGGTGTTCAGGCCTCATTTGCCAATAAAGTGAGTGAGACAACCTTCATTTGCCGAAAAGTTTAAATATTCGACGAAAAAGCACCCACTCATCGCTAAAAATCCTCGATTTTGAGAAAAAACGTTGTTCAAAATTGCATTTTGCAGAAGCTCAGCCTCAGCTTGTTCTTAAATTTTTCTTAACTTTTGACCAATTTTGAGGCTCGTGTTCTTATAAAATTGTTCTTATAAAAAAAAGAGTGTATGTCTCGAAAATGCATTTTTAGCCAATCGAGGGCATTCAGTTTTAAAAATTTGCTGGGCCCCCCTAGAGGGGCCTAAACATTTTTAGTCATAATTAGTGGTATGGTAAAAGTCCCTTAAATTAGGCACTGTCCCATTCACACTTTTCGCGCGCAAAACATCAGTTGGTTGTAACAACACCAACAGCATTAGAATTATCAGGCCTTTCCCGCCCCAAAATTAATTTCGATTGATTTACCAAATTATTTTTCGAATGATATGCCGATTTTGGTATGTTTTGGTGTTCAGCTGCTTAATAGCTTTTTCTTAGGGTGTTCTTGGGGTGTTCTTGGGGTGTTCTTGGGGTGTTCTTGGGGTGTTCTTGGGGTGTTCTTGGGGTGTTCTTGGGGTGTTCTTGGGGTGTTCTTGGGGTGTTCTTAGAGTGTTCAGTCTTTTAGAATCGGCGGGATGTTTACTCCAAAATACCAGGTTTGCGGGAGGTATCGACTACTAAAAATAACTTGCAAAGATAAAGCATTAAATCTGTTTTCGAATATTTGCTTTTGTTTTTAAGAGCAGTGCAAAATCTTGCGTGCGGTACACAATGATAAAGGAAGATGCTTTGAATTACTACCACAGAATAAAGACCCTTTTCTGTTCTGCTTAGCAACCAGTGAGAAATCCCAACAAACAATTCGTGCTATTACGTCAAGCCATTCAGCTCCTTCACAATTCCAGTTTCGCTCCAGTGTTTCGCTCCTGCAACAAAATCAAGGCGCATATTTGCGGAGGCATATTTTTACGTAATCACAGCTTTTCATTTTAAAGATTCTTCCTCACGATGACGTATGACAACCCACTTGCTTTCAGGCCTAATTAATCGCGTACCCCTAGAAAAGAGACTCTCCACAGCACTGAATCTCAATTTAGCTACACATTCGGATGAGAAGGTTGCTTGCTTTCTTGACTGAAGTCAGGCAAACCAGGAAGAATAAAGTACTTAACGAAGAATTACTGAACTTCATGATGGGTGTTATTGATCTCGTCGACGAATTTCACGACAGTTTCATGATGATTTTTATAATCCTTGCTGTTGCGGCATTTTTCTGCTGGTAAGTCAGCTAATTTTCATTGTGTTTTTTGTAAAGCCTTTTTACCCTTTAAGTGGTGGCCTGCCTGCAAACTTATGCATTGCAACAATTGTTATTGAGATATTTGGCATTTTGTTTTCATATGATTGAAAAATTGGCTAAAATTTCTTTTGGTTTTTGGAGTACTCTGTAATATAGTACAAAGTAGGGTCCTTTGCGCCCACCCGCCCCCCCCCCTCCCCTCCATTACCTCTTTCGGGCTAAAAGCAGAAATAGAAAATAGAAAAATTTTCTATAAAGATATAAATGTTTTATTTCGTTAAAAACAAGTTTTGCATAGAGCCCTCTGTGAAGTGTTCAGTCACCATGGTGGTTACAAATTTTAAGAGACTGTGATTACTTTTACAAGACATCGGAGACTGGGATGCGGTTCTTCTTCATCGTGTCATCGGAGATACGGTTTTGATCTATCAAATGAATATGTCAGGGGAGATTTGCGGGCTACTACCATAGAATCTTCTAGATCTTATTTTTCAGGAAAATACTTCGTTTCTACAATTTCAAACGTTCAAGGGATTTTGCGTGTGGTCTTCCCGAGCACCCACCCACGTTTCTCTAGCAGCTATTCATAACTTTCGGAAGAACTATTCAATTGCAATCTTGATGAGTCCAAAGGAATTCGCTTCGCTTGGACAATAGCACGTTAACCTTTTTATCGTAGAAAATGTCTTACTTTACCCGTTGCCTATTAAAAATTTGTTCTGCATTCGGTTGTTTAATGTAACATTCTCTCCTTGCAGGCTGTTCGTGAGACCATTCTTAACATTTAAGAAATATGGAATTCCTCACCCAAATTTCAGCTATTTCACTGGAAATTTATTTGATGTTGAAAGAGAGGTATGTTTCTAATCTCTTTTATTTTTTATCTCTGATATAAATTTAGTTTATTTTACTTTCATTCATTTTGTTTTCTATCATTCTGACTTTGATTTCTTCATGGACCTCTTCTTCTTGGACAAAAATCACTCCCCTCTTTTTGCAAAACGACTTTCTGCAGCCATCTGGATATCGTTACGACTCCTTACAACTCTAAGATTTCGCATGTTAGCCAAAGATACTCTACGGGGTGTGTCCCAAATAGCCACTGTTGGCGATCAGGTTGGAAAACTCGCTGTCCTTATCGTCTTCATCGAATCTTATGCTCAGCAATCGTGGATCTTCCATGTTTGCGGATATTTTCCGCAAAAGGCTGCAATTACCATTTAAAACAAAACTTTGCATCTTTGGTAGTGACAGAGCCGTATCTAGCTATTATGCTCAAGAGGGGCGCTCCGACCCCACTTGCCGACACAGTTGGTGTACCATAAAATCTACTATTCCCAACAAATTTCAAATTTGCAGACGAAGCAGCCCCAGATGGTAAAAACACCTCATTTTTACATGGAAATTTTTTCCCAAGGGGCGTCACTTCCCCACCCCCACCCCACAGACACACTTTGATAATTATCGAATAATTTACCCGCTGTCTTTGAAGTCAAAGATAGTGTTAACATAAATGCAATATAGCAGCGTATAGCAGCCATAAAATTTGGAATACAGGCCTTAGTCGTTTCATCATAAAATGTTTCGTGGTTTTCCGATGCAATAATTATGGAAATCAATTGCCATGTTGTGATTCTGTCGGATGTTACATTTTAGGGCAGTAATATGGAGTTTGCTATGACAAACATGAAAAAACTGGGTAACATATTTGGGTGAGTTGATTTTGGTCATTTCTCTTTTTGCAGTGTAAAGAAAATTACTTAACCTTCCTCTGGAATATAGTCTTGGGTCTTTTCTGGTTATGCATTGGCCCTTCTCAACACTTTTATCGTTGCATAACCTTCCTCAAGCTCACAGACATGGAAGCGTAATGTCTTCTGGATTCGGAAATAATGGCACATGAATTTTAAATCCATTATTATTCATCTCAATTCACAATCCTCCAGTTTCTCTTGAATTTGCCCTTTGAATTCTTAACAAATATGATTTTTAAGTACGATTGAAATATTGCATTTCAAATTTCTTCTTTAGATTATACTGGGGAAGGCTCCCGGTGGTTATTGTTGCTGATCCTAAAGTACTTGAAGTCGTTTTTGTAAAGGAATTCGCAAATTTCCATGATAGAGATGTAAGTAAAACCTATTAAGTTTTGCTCGTGCTACAAGTAATGATCTATTCTTCGTATTGAGATAGTCATCTGAGCATCTTTGTTCAGTGTAACATATCCATATTATTTCAAGTTTATTTTTGTATCTTTCCTTTCAAAGTATTCCCATGGCAATCACAAATGGCCAATGCATTTGAATTTGTTAACCGGAAAATACAAACATTGGAAGAGAATTCGCCCCACGATCAGCCCGACGTTTTCAGCAAGCAAAATCAAGCAGGTTAGCCTCGATGCCAAGATTTACATAAAAAAATGCTCAGGTGAATTGATGAGCGTCTCTTTCTTCAAGGTTTCATAACATAGGGTTCTCTGAAGCTTCACTGATGCAAATTCTCTAGGGGGGAAGGGGGTTGGTATTCATTCACAAGCATGTGCAAAAATCTATCATGAGTGGATACTTGCCGGCGTGATATTTTCCTGTTTTCCAAAATGCAAACATTTGAAGTTCCAAAAATGTCCTCCGATTCTTTTTTCTAGCATTTCGAGTTTTTCTTATTCAAGCACAAGACCTAACGCAAACTTTGCCATATCAATCTTCATCATAAATACATTTTGCAGCAGGGATGGCGCCAGAAAAAAAATGCTGGGGGGGGGGGCTGTAATGTCAGAGTGCCGACAGTGAGTGAACCACACCACCCACAAAGATGTAATAAAACACCATTTTCGCTGTGGTAATTCTAGTTAAAAAGACAATTGAAGTTATGAAAGTGCCGACATTGCTTAAAATTTTTCAAAAATTGAAGTGCCGACGGGGGGCTCAATGAAATTTTGGGGGGGGCTCCTGCCCCCCAAGCACCCCCGGTAGCGCCATCTCTGTTTTGAAGGAGTTGACACCTTTTAAATGTTCTGTTACTGAACTTTTAAAAATTTGACATTATTTCATCATAATTAAATTGGTTGCATACTATTTGCTGTTTAGACAATTCCGCTTGTGATGCAGTCAGTCAAAACCATGGCAGAAGTTTTGAAGAAGCAGGCCAAAACTGAAGATATTATTGACATTAACAAGTGAGTCATTCCGATATGTGTACAAAAGTATTGCTACTTTTCTTAGAAAAACAACGGTAATTTCCAGCGGCACATTCAACCATCCCCTTCTACTCTTTAAGCAATGAAGGCTTTTTGCAAAGTAATATATTTTGTCAAGGCCGCCAAGAGGACGAGCAGAGGGGGGGGGGGAAGGAACTGTAACAGGGCCTCATGGATTAATGAATTCCGCTTTTAAAAAAGGCAGCATGTCTACAAAGCTGTACAATGTTTTTAACGATTGCAAGAAAATAACTGCGAGAAGGTAACTATAAGGAATATTCTGAAATGCATTTTAAGCTAATCTAATTAAGCCACATTTTAAGCCTTCGGGCCTCTTTAAAAAGGTCTTACTAAAGGGCCTCTTTAAAAAACCTCTTGGCGGCCCTGAGCAATGTTACAGAACAGTTTTTCGTGAGGTTATAATTCATGAAATAATTAATACAAATAAATGAAAGAAATAATGTATTCTAAGCGTTCGACATGTTTGTTATCTTTAGGATCTTTGAGCGGATGGCAATGGAAGTGATTCTATCAGTTGCTTTCGGGTTGAAGACCGAATTCCAGTTAAAAGGAGACAAGAAGATTTCAAAAGCTGCAGATAAATTCTTTCAGCGTGGGTTGGGTGGTATATTTATCGGTAAGTGAAACATTGGAGCGATTTTAGCTCATAGACTCTTTGAAGGGAAGTCAGCTAGGGAGATGACTTCCCGCCACATAACGTTTTACCTATTTTCGACTTTGTAACCGTGATCTACGAGAAAAAGCGCTTGTAGTGTCAGCAGAGAAACTTTTAGGGAAGATTCAGTTTTACTAATTAATCTACTCAGGGGTAGATGTGGTTTAAGAATAAAATCTAGGGAGAAATTATATTTTCTGAATTTCAACCAAAAGAATGTATAATTGAGCAGAAAGTGGAGAAGTGGTTGCAAAGAACTTGCCAAGCCCTAAATATATGGAAATTGTAAGCAAAAAATCCTTGTAGTATGTTGCTCTTCAAAACACACTGTTCAATCTAAAATCGGAATTATACCGAATACAGGGTATTAAATTCGATAAACACCGCCCAGTCTGAGGAAGATTACAGAAATATCAGCCGAGAAAAATGCAAATACCGCAATACCGTAAACCCTTAAGACTGTATCTAGAGTTTAGACAATTTTTTGATTCTGGAACAGGCCAGTTTAGTGAAGACGAAATACGAATCCACAGGGTTTTCGTGTTATTTCAAGCTCTTTTTGGCATTGTCACGTCAAGTATGGTGTGTTGATCCTTTTTTGTTCTTCTTTTTACATATGCTGAGAGAAAGGACAGCTTACTCAATTTGTTATTTACAGATATGTTGCCAATGCCCATTTGTATCAAAGATTTCTTCAAAAAGTGCTTTACTGCCCCGGACCCGTCGTACTTGATCAGACTTATAAAGCCGGTGATAGAAGAAAGGAAGATGAGTCCATCCACGGTTAGTATACTAACTCATTATGTAGGTTTATTTGACAGGACTAGAAGTTGAGTGACGAAACTTCTATTGAAAGGCAATTGATAGGGCTTGATCCACCTGTCAATCAAATATGAGCCAATCAATTAGAATCTGTGTGGTTTCACGCTAAGTGATTGGTCAATTGGTATTGACTAATAAGCTAACAATTAGTGACAGATCACCACGCTTTTCATTAGAAGAGCATTGGCTAAGAACAATTCAAAGAAAGTTCTGTTTTTCTAGGAGGCACCAAAATGAGTTGCTTTGATGAATTAAACTACTCCTTTTCATATCTACAGAGAAAGGACTTCTTGCAGTTGCTGCTAACTGAAAGCAAGGTTGATGGTCAGCTGAAATTGAGTGATGCGGATATTTACGCCTCCGCAATTTCATTCTTACTGGCTGGGTATGAGACCACAAGCAACGCACTGGCCTACACGACCTACCTACTTGCACTTCATCCTGAAATTCAAGAACGGCTGTACAATGAAGTGAAAGAATGCGACATGAACTCAGAGGTATTAATTTGAAGCTATTTGTGCTGTGTCGCTAACTTTATGTAGCAGAGATTGTTATTGATGAAACATAAGTAAACCACAACGTTGCGTATGATGGTGCTACGGCATTTCGTCATTTAAAGTTACCGCGGCAGACTGCAGCAGGTTGCGGTTCCAAGAGTCCAATGAAACTTCTCTTTCTTTAGTGACAAAATGGAGGGCAACTGGGGTCAATTGCCCCTCCATTGAAAAGTTGAAGCAAGTCTGGCGCCCCTTTTTGGAAATTGTGCGCCCCTTTTGAAAAATAAGAATCAGATTTGCTTCAAGGATTACCTCAAAGCTATGTTGTTTATTCTGAAAATGGATCTGAAATTGTTGTATACAGCGTACTCTCGTCTCCAATTTTTGAAAATTTTTTAGCGCCCCCACTACCGACTGCCCCTCCTTTAACTTTGCTCTGGACCCGCCTCTGAAATGGGGAGCCTGAAGTGTTGATTGGGCAGCTGTGGTAATATCATAAATATTCAACGCTTAAGGTACCCCAGTCAACCATGGAAATTCGAAGTTACGCGATTCAGTTACATGGGTTTTAGGTTGATGACGCTGTAACAGCCACTTGGCAGAGCTTTTGGCGCTGCCAATAGTTGTCACTAATTGTCAGCGGCTGTCAATTGCTGTCAGTCGTTGTCAGTCAATGCCAGTTTAACTGCCGGTTGTGGTCGGTCGTTCTTGGTCGCTTTCAGTCGCAATCAGTTGCAAGCTTTAAAAAACAGCTTTCCATAAAGATTTATTAGTCACTGATGATTAGTACAATTACAGACACCCTTACGCCCTGGAACAAAACCTTACAACATATCAAGAGCTTTTTGAACCAAGAGGAGCCTTCAGCTGTTAATTTGCTTCCTTCCTGCATATTTCAAATTTATTTCTAGCTTTCCCTTTATGAACCTAGAACGCAATATGGCTCTGTTTCCTTAGCAAAATCTGCTTTAAACGCCCAACTTCTTATAGCGGACACCTTAAAACAACAGCAAACAAATAATCTCGCCTCGAATCTCAATTAACGTCTAGACTTTGTCTAAGTAATCTCCGGATTACAGAAGGTTTTTGCAGTGGAAAGAAGTCTGGATCCAAATTAATCTGGATTTGCAGTGGAAAGTAATCTGGATCCAAAACTGCCCATTGTTTGCGATACTAGCGTAGGTCTTTAAGCTGCATGCACGTTCTTTATAGAAGGCTATTCCAGTACTTTTTTACCTTATGACTTAAATCAGAATGAAATGTAAAAACAAATTTCGTGTCTATTTTCTCCCTCAGGATGCCGATATTTACAATGAGATCCAAAGATTCAGCTATCTCGACTGCGTTTTCAACGAATCTCTTCGCTTGTACCCACCAGGATGGGAGTAAGTAGATGATCTTTTAACAATCACTAGACAGTCGCGCTCTCATTGTGAAAATAGTCTTCTCCCTTTACTACGTCACGTACTTAAAATTGCTTAAATTCACATTACCGTTACCGTTTATAGTTCCGAAAAGTTTGGTTGGCAAAACGTGACTAAACTTTTCACTAATCTTCACTCAACTTGTCTGAGCTGCAAGCTGTCCATGACGCTGTTGAGTTGTAGGGGATCTTGCATAGGAATTTGCTTTTGGTTTATTTTGTTGCATGCACAAGCAGTGGATAAAAATAAGAATTGGATGAAGCGACGCGGAAAGGAAAGACTTTTTAGCACATTAACAACAAAGTTGACTGTTGAAGGAGACACAGTAGCGTATGTGATATATGCAGATGTCAGACTACAACGAGATATGCAGATGTCTCATAAAGGCTTTTTGGGTCACGTAGAGACAGGAAAACCTATTAAAACAGACGAAAACCTTTGGATTTCCACAGCTAGTGTGCTTGCGCGATCACAAGAAATGTTTAATTGGTGGAAAAACGACTAAACATTTGCTAAAAAACACTAAACAACGTTAAACATTTTTGACCAGGATCAAACTTTGCTCAACAACACTCAACACAACTAAACAACACTAAACAGGGTGGCAAAACGACTAAACTTTTCACTAAACTTTGACTAAGCAAAAGTTGAGTGAATTGTTTAGTGAAATGTTTAGTCGTTTTGCCAGGGCTTAACACTCCGCCAAATATCACGGCTTTTCAAGCAACATTTTATGTGACTGTAACCAGAGTCTCCTTCCCGTTGTAGGACATTGCGAAAGACCGGAAAGGACTGCGTGTTTGGAGGAATTACGATACCAGCTGGAACAATGCTTATCATTCCAATTTTAGCGATACATCGATCGGAACAGTTCTGGAAAGATCCTTATGCCTTCGACCCGGAAAGGTTTGTATTGAAGCAATTCCTGTTTGATGAGTATTGGATGGCATGTTTAACCGTTCGCTCTTGACTTTTTATTGTGCCAGCCAAGTGATTGTTCCATTTCCAGTCACACACTTCTCAAGGCTCTTAAATCACCAAAATGTTATTCTTAATTTGTCTTTCCTATACTGAAATTATTCCTAATTCAAGCACTTTATCTATTACAGGTTCAGCCAAGAGAGGAAAGGTGATATCATTCCATACACTTTCATGCCATTCGGCCACGGGCCTCGCAATTGTGTTGGAATGCGATTTGCTCTGACCGAGGCTAAGCTCACTCTTATCACCCTACTGAAGAAATTTCGTTTTGTGAAGACCAAAGAAACAGAGGTATTTTCAACTCTGTGCATCTTGTATATAGAAGAATTTCAATATTTTCAGCAAGCAAATTATGGACCCATAATTCATTTTTTTTATGGATATCCCAATATCAAATGGAAAATTTCGTTGTCCTTCTGCGTATAGATTAAACTTGATAAATCTGTTGCAAGATGTTAAAGCTGCTCCGTGTGCTCTTCTTACTCAATTGCATTCATCGAGATTTTTGGGAGATGATTTTCTGTAATTATTAAATCGGGCTACACTGAAAAATTTATACCTGCAAGAAGACAGCTCACAAATACTACTCTGGCTGTTTTTTCTTTTAACTATGTCATAACACTTTGCTAAAACATTGGGAACATTTGAAGTTTACAATGAACATCATTTTGCAGCCACACCCACTCAAATTGAACTTTGGAGTCACAATTAGCCCAGCCAATGGAATCAAAGTTGGCGTGGTGGAGAGGTAATGCGTCTCATAGAGGTCAATCCATCAGTGGAACTTGTTAAATTTTCATATGTTATTCATTTATTTTGATAATCAAGTCTATTCTTATGCATCAATATTTCCTAGTCTTTGATAATCTCAATTTTGGTAGTCATTTAATTCCCTACAATGCCTGCCAAAAGTACTTGGAACACCCACCAATTTACGCTGCATTTGATATCTTTCATTCCTTTCATGAAAAAAAATTGCTACTTCCGCCCCCTTCCCCCTCAAACAATGTTGATGATTTAGAGAAATACCATAAAAGAAGCGCAAAAGAAAGTGCTTCCTAAAATCCTACCCCGTTTGATAGTAAACCAACATTGTTCCGTGGGGGAGAGGGGGATGATTGGTTTTGACCTTGGAAATTGATGTCAGAGTTCCAAGACTTTTGGCAGGCATTGTAGCTCTATTATTGAATGAATCAAAAAAAATTTGACAATGTCATCATAAAGTATTTTTACAATTCATGTGTTTAATGAAAATGCCGCTAATTGAGGAACCGTGAAAAAACATTTGTATCAATAAAAAAAAGTTTTGCCAACTGTTTGCAAGATGAAACATTTCTCTTCGAAGATAAATAGGTAGTAACAAAAACACATTTCAAATGAAAATTGGTAATTTTTTTATTTCAATTCTCCTTAGTAAGTTGGTTCATAGAAAACTTATTCTATGGTTCATCTCACTTTACTTTTTTCGTGGTTGTTTTAAAGTAACTTAAACATGTATAATCGGAACATCAAAATACTATTGTGTTTTTTCTATTCCTAGCGATCATTATATAAGTATCAAAAAAAGAAATTTCTTGTGTAATTAAATCGTTTAGAATCAATATATAATCAAGGTTTTGGTATGAATTGTAAATATGAACATTGTATTTGAGTTCAATTCTAAGTTTTGCCTCTTCTTTGCTTGATCCTAATTGTCATATGCCTCGGAAATAAAACAAGTTTCGTGATAAAAAACATCAGAATTTGCCACAATCACCGCAGAATGCAAGTTTATATATGTTCATCTTTAATGAAGAGTCTTCTATTATGTATTTAAGTGAGGCTATTGATCTCACAGGAAAATGATGTAGATATTGATGTTCAAAAACATTACAAATAACAGAAGATTGGTTTTACTGTACGCTTTCTTAAAGGCAGTCTGTTCCCTTCGTGATTGGCTAATTCTAATTTGAGCGCCTCGCCCTAAGAGGGTCTTCCTCTCTTTTAAGCATCCGGCATTAGTTATTGAGGGTCAACATGGCAAAAAGTGCCTTATCTTTATATGATGGAAATTGACTTCAACGTTTGACAGTCACCAAAATAAAAATTCACAGCAACTCGCTCAGGGTTAGTACACTATGGTGATTCTTCATTCTGATTGGTTATTTGTGATCAAACCAAAGATGCATGGATATCGTTGCCTTGAAAAGAGATTCTGAGAACAATGGGGGACAGACTGCCATTTAAAATATGAGCAGCCACATCATGTTTCATTTTGAATGATCGTTTGCAAGGGAAGACACTTTATCAAAAATGTTTGACAAAATCGGGCAATCTTATGTGCTTGATGATAAAACCTGTCCCTTAATCCTTGAAATTTGATAACAAAATTCAGAGAAGTGGAGGATATGACCTTGAAAAGCAGGATATGATCTTGAAAACTGTGTTGGGGGCCCGAAACAATGATAGCTTTATTAGGCGCAATATTCCTTTTCTTCTACTGTAAAAAGTAATAATTCCTACTATACTCTAGCTGCTAGTAGAAATAAGAAAGATAAATTTATTACGTAAATGCTTATGTATAATATTATGGTGTAAGGAAAGTGGTAAAATACTCCAACAAAAGTTTATGTTTTGATTCACGACACACTCACGGGCCGGACAAAATATCCAACGTAAACATAGGGTAGCTGCTCTGCCCCCGGACCCCCTTTTTCATTTGCTCTTGGTATCATGATATCCCACTAAAGAAGCTAGAAAATAAGGAATAAGTGGACTAGAGCTTGATTGGTTTATATTCTACTTACCTGAGTGAAAGCAGCTCTGCAAGTTAAATCCCACCTCCGCTAGTGTTAACGATACAAATTGTGGTGTCACTCAGGACTCTCGTCATGGCCCACTGCTGTTCCTTATGACATAAATGATCTATCATTCTGATATCCCACACTAAGGATCTGGGAGTTCAAATCGACGACAAACTCTGATGGGATCACCATGTTGAAGAGGTCAAAGCTAAAGCACAACGAGCTCTCGGTCTTATCAAGCAGCCAAAAATTTCTTCCATCAGGTAATCTCCAGAAATTGTATAGAGAAATTGTTCAGCTACATTTCAGTTACGCTGCTCGGTTTTGGGATTTTGTAGTAAAACCATACATAATTCTCCCCAACAGATCCAAAATAGAGCTACAAGAATAACTACAAATAGTCCTTACGAAGTTTCTGCTGTCTCTCTGCTCCAAAATCTTGGCTGTCTATCAATTAGAGATCTTATCAAAAAAGAAACAGCCCATCTGACTTAGGGATGTACCGGATATCCGGTAGGCCGGATAATCCGGCGCCGGATCGCTGATTTTTTGAAAATCCGGTTCCGGCCGGATTTGTTTTCGAAATCCGGCCAGTTGCCGGATTTTCCAGAACTTTAATCATAACTAAGAAAATTTGGAAAACCAAGTCAGACTCCCTTCATACAGTGATTAAAAATGGATTTTCCAGAACTAAACAATATCGACGATAAAACAAGCGCCTTGAAAACAGATTTGAAATGAAAGTGCTCGTCATCACGAAACAGGAAGACTGGATGATATAATTCACAGATTTGGTCCAGTGTTGCCAGATCGGCTTTTTAGGCCAATTTTTTCATTTTTGGCTTTTTGATTTAGATTGCCTGGAACAATTGTTTTTTGCTTACTACTTAAATTTGACCTTGTTGGCCTTTTCAGCAGAACGTCTAAAATTAATAAGTAATTACTACATTCATAGAATAATTAGTAGTTAACTACAAACTGTTAACCAAATTTCAAATTTTATCACCTTACCTAAATATTATCTTGATATTAGCAAAGGGTTTTGGAAAAAAGTAAGATTCTTATCAAAGTTAAGAAATTATCTAACAGGCACAAGCGTAGAAATATAACCAGTGCCTGCTCGATGGATTCTTGAGAGAGTTTTTGATTTGGCCTTTTTTTCATGAGCATTTTGTCTTAAATTGCTCACCAGTCTAGCCTTCGTTTGTAAATTCAATCTGGCAACCCTGAATAGGTCTCTTTGATCTTCTCGCTATACATTTTTTCGCAAAGTGGCTCAAAATTTTTTATTACTGAAAATTCTATAAATGGTCAGATTATCCGGTAGAATCCGGTCGGATATTCCACGAAGAAATCCGGTAAATCCGGTTCCGGCCGGATTCTGAAAATCCTGATCCGGTACACCCCTAATCTGACTGCTAAAGCATTCAACTCAATTGCACCTCGATAGTCAGGAGAACTTTTCCGTGAATGCTCAGAGGGTAGTAATTGCAATCGTCGCTCTACCAAAAGAACCTGGCAGCTACCTCGGCTAAGAACGTGCATAGGCCAAAAAGCATTTTGTCATCACTAAGCAAAATTATGGAATCAGCTGAATGGGGGATCTAAATTAACATTGTCCTAGCTGCCTATATGAAAGGTTTTTTTATTCTCATATTAAGTTTTGTTATACTCGATTCTACAAGTATATCATATAAGCTATTGTAACTCCTTTTAATCTAGGCTTTCCTGTTTTCGCACAGCTACTGAAATCCTTAACCTGCATAAATATTCAAAAATTAAATGTTCAGTTCATAATTTTAAAATTCCGCTACATATAAACATTTTCAGATAAGCTAATTAAGTGTAATTAAATACAAATACAAACAATAACAAGGATTTAAGTAAAAACTAGTAGACTTGCATGCAGGGAATTTGTTAAGGAGGGGCCCTTTCAATAGATAAACTAATCGAGGAGAGAGCACCCCCTTTTCAGAATAAAAACGAAATGAAATTCATCCCTAGAGGACCGTGCCTTACAATGATACTTTTACATGCCTTCTCCCACTATTCTCATGTTCGAAATTCTTCCCTGGTGATTAGTACCACTTTCACATCCTTTTCCCAACATTCTCGTGATATAAATACTTTTATACTCATAATCGTTATTACTACTCAAGATCGTTCTTCGTGGCCTTTTTGGATTAGTTAGACAACTAGTAAATGCAGTTTCACCCGGTTTAAAAGGTTGAGTATACTTGTCACAACGACGCTTGATTGGAATAAATACAGAGATGCAAGGAGCTAACACCAGAAAATTCTATAATATCATTTTAAAAATGGTTGCTGTTGATAAACATACCTTAAGAAATAATTTCTACTTAGATATTTATAAGATTACATAAAATTTACGGTACTCCAGTTTGGTTTCAAGCAAAGTAGCAATATCGTACAGTCTAACTGCCAAATTTGATTAAATCAAGATAAATTATATTTCACTGGTGCCTAAAATCATATCGCCCTAAATCGGTTGAGGAGCTTATCGCATCACGAAAGTCCACCCGGGTTGAGATTTGCCATGTCCGCTAGAAACTCGTTTGTGTTAGTTGCAAGACTTCAGATAAGATTGAAAGTCTTGGATTGAAAATCAAAACAGCTTTACACTGATATTCATTGGAAGAAAAGCACACACATATCACACGTGTTATGCTTCCAAACTCAACCCGGGTTGACTTTTCTCATCTCATGGACCTCTGAGATTACATAGAATTTGTTTACATTCAATAAAACACAGAAGGCTAACATTCAACATGAATACACAACGTTAACAATGATTTACATTGCTAAACGCATGATCTTAGAATATGCTGATATTTTCGATTGCAACGAGGCAAGAGATCCAAAGCGTTTGAAAAGGTATAACGTTCGGAAACATCTCTATTTGCTCATTTGAAAAATGCCTTCTTTCACCATTTACTAAGATACCCTTTCCCCTTTTTGCTTAAAAACAAACAGTTTGCCAAAGAGTTCACTTTTCGCTACTATTTTCAGCAAAACGTTTTATGGTCAACGGCGTTTTTTATCACCGCACAGAGCTAGTCTGCAAAGAAATGTGATCAAAATATCAGTTAAGTTCAGTTGAATGAATAAAGGGTTGAAAAGAATAACGTACCTCTAGCGAAATACACTCAAAATAAAGCATCATAGCCTAAATTATCCATCTCGTGGTAATGACAGAAATGAGCCTAACCTCCCCGTGTAAAGATAGGCCCTTAACAAAACCCACTAGACTTCTAAGAAACTGGTATATCAGTCTGCCTCGTTGTGTTTGCGTTTGTGTTTTGTCAAAATCCCACTGGCATAAAACCTTTCACCACAGACATTACATTGGTACGGCTTTTCCCCGGTATGAATTCGCTTGTGAGTTTTCAAAGTGCTAGACTGCGCAAATGCCTTATCACAAATATTACATTTATAGGGCCTTTCTCCGTTGTGCACCCTTTGATGACTCCTAAGATGGCTGCCATCAAAGAAAGTTTTATCGCAAACATCACACGCAAATCGTTTAGTTGGGATCGCCACCGTTGTGCTACTTGCTTCGTGGACTTCGTTATAATGCACCCTCATATGCGAACTCACGTGACTAGACCTTGTAAATTGCTTGCCGCACAGTTCACAAGAGTACGGTTTCTCGCCGCTGTGTATCTTCTCGTGCCTGCGTAGGCCACTTGAGCGGCTGAAGGTCTTTTTGCAGCTTTTACACGTGAACAGTTTGAGTCCAAAATGTGATCGCCGATGTGCTGTCAATGTGCCGCCCTGTTTAAAACTTGAGCCACAAATATCACACTTGAACGGCCTGTGGTTAAAATAACGTGTTTTTAAAATTACTACGTACTATGCATGTCATAAAATTTCAGAGAATATGCGCGAGATTAAAGGCATTGAGTCATGATAAAATGGATTGGGTATACCCTAAATGCCAAAATCCACTGAGTCATGATTTTCATGACTGCAATGCTATTGGTTGACCTGGAACTGGTCACATGAACTCACCTCGTACTGATTGACAAAACAATTTCGATCAATAGCAAGTTGTCAACAACGGATGCCAATATCACATGAATCGGCAGTGATCACGCCAAAACCAAATGACCCCCTATAGAGAAGGCCTATTTACCATGACTCAATGCCTTTAAAAGCTAAACTAAAACGGGGCCAACGTGAAAATAAGAATCTTTTTGCCACATTTGTTACAAACCGGTCAATTCATTCCAAAAGCTTTACTACGGGGGTCTAAATAAATAAGAAAGGTAAAAATATTTAAAGCTATTTAATGAAATATAGTGAGAGTGAACTACAGAATGGGATTAAAGGTTGGCAATTGCTTTTGAAAGATAATTCAGGCAAGCAGAATGCCAAAAAATACAAAAAGCAAAGTTTAAGTCGCTTAAATCATTGATTGGTGATTTTTACCTACCAAAAAGCTGCTTATACATAATTTATAACTTCAGTTTTAGGGCTATAAAAACTTGTTCCCATTAAATCATATGAAATGCCAGAGTGAACAGGATGTTAACAAGGCGTAACAGAGCAGTTCTCTATGTAAAATGCATGAAATTTAATCCCTCTAAGCACTGCACTCAAATACCATTTTGGCACCCATATACCGCTTACCTTTCTCCAGTATGCACACGCATGTGTGATGTCAGGGATTGGGCATTCTTCAACTTTCTGCCACAAACATCGCAAGTGCACTCTTCACCCAAATTACTCTCTCTAAGATATTTATTTGCTAATTTGCTTCTCCTCTTTTGCCTAATTGCAGGGATGTCTTCCTGGTCGCTTTCTGATGTATAAACCTCTTGCTCAATTTCATATTCCAATTCTATGCAGTCTTTGGAGGAGTCTCTCCCTTCCTCCATAGTTTTGTATGATTCCTGAAACATAAATTCATAATAATTATTCTTTTAATGCTTTTAATATGATTCAGGAAATTCCTTCCATGAAAATTTTTTCATCCCAGTCTTTTCAATTCAATTTGGTCTACCTTATGGGAGTAAGAACAGTGACTACAAGTTAACTGTCATCTTGGGAGGCATTTTGAGAGTTAATCTAAAATTTATTGTGCAAAAAACTTGCTAAATATGCATTAAGGTCCAACAGGCTGGGCTGAAAATGAAATCATCTTCATATTAAAAAAGCCTGATAATGCAATGAGGAAAAAACCCAAATTGAAAACCATCTGGAGTCTTAAACCATTGCTAGACACCAGCAACAATTAGAGAAAGCCCTTTTTCCTCCCGTCCCTCTAAATTTCAACCAGTCACTCCAACTTGCACACCATAAACAGCTCTTGGCTGTGTTTTGGTGTCAGGAGTGAGTTTGTTAGATATGATATGAGTGAGTTTGAAGTTTCTCAAGAAAGACACTCTGATCTGTGTTGAAAATTGGGAACAATGCAGCCATGTGGAGGGAACCATGGATTGTGCAGGATAAAGAGAAGAAGTTATATTCTTCAAAGAATCAATCAGGGGTGCAATGTGAATAATGGGGGTAAAGGAGTTTAAATCAGCCTAAGTGAAGCTAGATTAAAGTTGTTTTCACTTTTGTATGGAAAATGAGTAATACTGAATGTAGGGGCAGGGACTATTGAAGCAGAGGGGTGAGGGGTCTTTAGCCAACTCTCTAAAGTTTCTGAAATGTACTGGAAACCATACAAACAATACACTACGTTTTAGCATGCTTAGCCCCCTCCCAAAACGTTTTAGCTCCCTCGATAGGAAAATTGCTCAACTGTCCTTGTATAGGGGTATAGTATAGCATTCAGATTACCAGTGCATCACCTTTCTAGGTGTGCATTTTTCTCACTGGAATAACTATAAATCCTTATCATGATTAACCCTTGAAGTAAGGGTGTAATGGCTTTTGGACAATAACTAATGGGATATTTCAGGATTGCTGGTAGATGTGTGCATGTGTGGACCCATTTCTGCAAGAATGTCCCTTATTCACAATAAATGTCCTCTATGTTTTGACAAACTTAAAAATTAATCTAAAACCAGCCATACTCTATAGAGCTGTCAAATAGAAAGGTTCTCATGTTCCCATTAACAAATAATAGTACTCCAAATCAACTTATGGGGGTCTCATCTGTGCCTTACAAAATCTATTGCAAATAATTTCCAAATATTGAATAGAAAATACCTCATTTTCTTCACTGAGGTTTTCATCAGTTCCTTGCAATTCTCGATTATAAGCTGTAATGTGTGAAAACTTTTCTTTTCCTGGTTTTCTTTCATTTTCTTCACCAACAGGTTCTCTTTTAATTTCATCAATCTTCGGTTGAAAGTTCACAAAGCTTTCATACTCAAATTCTGGTGTTTCTGGAAAAATACACATTCAAATCTTTCATCTTTAAAAGTGTGGGAGTCCACAATAGATAAGCGTGTATTAACAATTATTTATTACCTTCATGTTATCAACAACTATTAAGCCATTTCTGCCCTTCAAGCACCAGAAGGTTATATTTTATATTTTAAAGGTTTTCAGGTTTTCGTAAAAATTGTAAGATCTACATTCTATGGATCACACAATCACATGATTCAACATTTCAAGGCCTGCAATCACAAGTATTCAAGAAAAAATACTTAAAAGATACTAGTGTCCCATTGGCATGAATAAGTGCAAATTAAATGAAAATATAATTCTTTTCTCAATATTGGATAAAAATGAAATGCAATGTATGAACACTAGACAAGCTTCTCCCCTGGAATGCATGAAAAACGAGCATAATGTGTGAGACTAAGTAGGGTTGATGTTTGGCGTTTTTTACGTCTCAGAATAATCTTAATTGAGGTATATACAGCGGCCACTGATAAGTCGAATTAATCATGTGTCATTTAGGCAACTATTCTTTAAATTGACAAAACTGTTGCTGACTTACGCATTATTTAGGCATTTACCCTTCTTCGCTTCTTCTTGAATAGAGAAACATTGGAGTAACTGTTCTTTGTGAAGCCAAGGACAAGAACAGATCAGTGAGGACAAGTCGAAAATCAACATCAACAACAAGAAACAGCTGAAGTCGAGGCTTCCTTCTTGAAATGATGATTATGATTATTATAATGACTACGGGCAGAGTACCGAAACCTAGGAACGTCTTTCTTGCTTCAAAAGAAAACTGAATTCCATGCTCACGAAATTGTGATCTTTTGAAATATTTCACATAAGATCTTTTTTCTTACTATGATTCTAAATCCGCCACTTTCAGACATTCCAATCTAAGCCCCCAAGAATATTTAGCATCGGGAGTTTTTTTTAATAAATTCCCATGATATATATATTCGAATTTGTTGCACCCGTAAAAATTAATGCCGACAAAATTTGCGAAAAATTCTACAAAAGTAAGTTTTTGAAAAATTTGACTTTTCATCAACAGTATATCAAATATAAAAATGATTTATCTCATCTTGCTGTATTGAATAAAGTATTTCATGGAAACTCAAATGTGAATCAATGTTCAATAAAAACGTGAAAGCATCAGCTATCAAGAAGATTGAGATGACAAAAACAATTTGGTCGACATGTTTTTTTAAAATGGGATTTTAAATCAGATTTATGATAAACTTCCTGAAAGCGGTAAGGTAGGATTGAAATCGAGGGAAGGGGACAAAAACTATCAAATCGGGAGTCTCCCGCCTAAATCGGGAGAGTTGGAACCAGTGGCGTAACGCAGTTTAGGCGACCTTAGTTCGAGAACTAAGGGGCCCCGACCAAAAAGGGCCCAAAAGGGGCTCCCATCAAATTTTTCGTATTTTGTGCTTTTTTACCATGTTGACAAGGTTTCCTAAAGCCATCCCAAAAGTTCTTACTAAACAGTGTTGCTAACACAACACTGGATTCATTCATTCTGTCTTGTTTTGTTTATTCGCTATAATTCTTCAATGGCTTATTTCAATTATATTGACAATGACAACTTTGACCTTGGCATTCAGAGGGCACAGAGAGCAGGTTCATGATAATGTGTGTGAAGGTGGGAATTTCTTGGCATTGGTCTCTCTTATGGCTGAATATGATGAATTTCTAGCAGAAGTTATATCTCTTCCAGGTAGAGCAACAAAATACCTTACACTAAGATCCAAAATAAGCCGATTCACTTGCTTGCAAATACTGTATCCTCGACTTTGGTAGAAAATATTAATTCCGCACCATCCTGGAGTATAATCTTGGATTCCACCAGTGATATTACCAGAGTCGACCAATTAACCGTTGTTATTAGGTGGGCAATCACACGTTATGAGTGAAAACTTTTTTGCTACCCTTCGAGATATCTTCAGTTTTTTGGCTCTTCCTTGAATAGATGGAGAGATCTTGGAATCGAAGCTGGGAAAGGATCACTGACACTAAAAAAGTTATGTACGACACGTTGGAGCTCTCGCATTGATGCAGTGCGAGCTGTGCGTGACAAGTATCCCCAGATAATGAGGCTTCTGACGCGACTCATCTTAACATCCAACAACAAGAATGAGCGTGAAAATGCAAAGAGTCTAAAGAAAAATATTGACACACTGGAATTTATTATTTTCCTTGTATTCTAGGAGAGAATACTAAGATCAGTCAATGCAGTATCAAAGGAGCTTCAGTCCCCTAGGATTGACTTGTCAGTTGCCTCTAGACACCTTAATATTGCACTCTCGGAGCTCCAATATCTTCGAGAATCATGGCAGTTTATAATGCTGACTGCCACAGCACTTGCAAAATCTTGGGATGGATCGCTAAAGTTTCAACAAAAGAGGGGTCGGAAGGCAAGATATGAATCAGATGAACTTGTTGTAGATGGAAGACTGATGGATCCTGAGCAAAGTTTTAAGATAAACGTTTTCTACAAGACTGTTGATACAGCATTGATGCAACTGACAGAAAGGTTCAAGGACAAGCAATGGTGACATCATTATTCAGCTGTCTCTACCCCCAACAACCTGGCAACACTGAGTCCTGACATGCTTGAAAATGCAGTACGAGTAATTCGTGAGAAATATCCAAATGACTTTACAGATGAATTAGATTCTGAGATGAGATAATTTGCAATCGAATTCAGAAAGGAGATTGAAGTCAAGAAAACTGTTCTAGAAGTGAATAACCTCGTGCTTCAGAGCCGTATTAGCTCATCCTTTCCAGAAATGTACAAGCTATTAACACTTTTCGTCACTTTGTCAGTAACTGTTGCATCGGCAGAAAGATCATTTTCAAAGTTGAAACTGATAAAGACATATCTAAGATCTACAATGTCACAGGAGAGACTGGACGACCTAGCAACTTTGTCAATTGAGAACAAGAAAGCAAAGAAAATTGACAAAACAAAGCTTATGAAGGATTTTGACAACGTTAATGCACGTAGAAAAGCTCACGTTGTGAGCAAGAACACCTAATTTACTGTTGGTATTTTCATATGTAAACATTTTCTTTACCACATCACGTGCATTTTTCGAGGTTCTAAAGGGCACGGTTTTAAACATTTTCCCATTACCCCGAACCCCTTTGCCCCGTAGATCTCACTTCACTTCGCAGTCCCTAAATAAGGGCCCCATCTTAGTAAATTCCTAAGGGCCCCGAGTGTCTCTGTTACGCCACTGGTTGGAACCTTGGCTTTACCGCTAAAAATAGGCACGCAGGGCCGAGCTGGTCTGGACCGGGGACCTGGGGGGCTTAACTGGTTTATAATATTAAGGTTGTGGCATCAAAAATTGTGGTGGCAAACCACCATATTATTTTACCAATTTGTGAAGATAAAATATAGAACAATTTTGTGAAGATAAAAAATAGACCAATTTTGTCGAAGATGAAATAGAAAGAATATTTTCCTGTGATATTGAACTTAAAATATGTGATAAAATCAGAAAAGAAGAGACTTTAATCGCAGAACCTTGTCCCGCTTCCTGGAAAGTATGGGTCGGCTAAATATGATTATGATGATTGATTCAAGAGAGCATGACGTCATGATCAAAAGTCAGCAATCACAACACGAAAAGGCCACTTGGCAGTGCAATATGGCCGAAGCACTGGAGGCAACTACCAAGGATGTAGATCTGTTTCGCGATACACCAGTTCGGCTCTTAGGTATGTTTAAGTCATTATTTGAAAGTTAAGGGTGTAATTGTAAGGATATTGGCTAAAAAGGAATTGTATTTTCTTCTCTGCGTATGCACTTTTTATATCCATCCAACATATCAAAAACTTAAAAGGACAAAATGGTCTAAACTTTTACTCAAAGTTTGCCTTTTCTCGGGGGCTATTGATTTTAGAAAAATTAAAAAAGTAATAAACGATGCAAACAAAGATGGCATATCGATAATTTCTTTACCATAAAAGACTCTGTGCCTTAAATACCAAATACCAACCACCACAACAATAAGATAGATTGCAAGTCTACAGGTCGACCCCTGTGTGGGTGTTATTGCGTGTTCTTTTGTAAGGGTTGAATTTTTGATAGCAAAACTGTACGCCCCCAGCCTTGATTCAAGTCTTTGTCTTTGTAGAATGTCTGAGTTAAGGATGCTGAAACCATCTTGATTTAAAATGCGCATTTAACCATGCCATCTAATAAAGAAATTTTTCTAAAAAGGTTGGCAGTAATAAAACAATCTTCCCAACTACTTAACAAGATTAGTTGCTTATTTAAATCAACACCAACACACTCATCTACCTGATGGAAAATTCATGTACGCTTAATGGTAGTTTGAAGATGGCATAGTGGGACTGGAAATTTTGGAGACACAATTCTTGGCACTTTATCTGGGAATAACCCATATGTGCCTTAATAGGTACTCCTTGACATATGTTATATGTGTCATTTCCAGTGGCGGACACCTGAGGGGGCAAGGGGGGAGGTGACCAACCCCCAATACTTTAGAGGACACTTGTCTTTTGTTCTAAAACAATGGAAAATGTGTTGTCATCTTATTAAAACAATAGGCTTGCCCCCAAATATTTGATCAAGTGTCTGCCCCTAGTCATTCCATATCAAAGAGGGACAGTCATGTCACCCATGTTCTCAGATTTTGCAGATTTTTTTGTGTAAATGTAGGTAAATATGGGATGAACAGAAATTGAGAATTTTGCTTACAACTAATGTACTTAGCCCTTGGTTAATACATTACCACACGTGTTGTCAATTGAGCATACAACAATTTTTTCTGGCACTGAGAGTCCCATGCTGCTGCCTTGCTCAGTTTACATCATTCTTTCTTCAAATCTGTTTGTGTCTTGTATTTAGAAATTTTCCGTTAAAAATACTGTCCTACTTTATCCATTAAAAATACTCTGTCAATGGTATACCAAGAGAAAATGGTCCTTTTGTCTACTCCTCAATTTGCAAAGAAGGATTTTAGAGAAACCTTAACACAGGGCTGGCTGTTTGTATTTTTATATGTGAGCTGTGAATCGCACCCCTCATTTGCTGAGGCGAGCTAAATCAGTAACACATAGAATGTACTTTAAAGACAATCAACAGATGACTTAATAAGCCCCTTTAGTATCTGTCGGTTGCCTTAATGTAATAGCCTCAGTCAGGAGTGTGCTGTTTCACTTCTTTCAATTTGTATTTGCTTTAACCGTGACTTAGGCACCCCCTTTACTTGAAGTATTCATAAGAACAGACTCTTTCAGTTCTATGTAAAGCTGGCACAACGCAAAAACAACAATTCTCTTGCAAAACAATCTTTTTATTGCACAGAATTTGAAAATGGCTTTGAAAAAAAAAATTAAACCAAGCTGAAGTTATATGTCTAGCACTCTTCAGAGAATAAAACGTCAGAACATAGATGGAAAACTCTATGTTAGATACCCAGTTTTGGATCGAAATAGGCCAATCAGAAAACGCGAGCACATGACTGTTGAGGTTGTCCAATCAGTGCCGCTTTCCTATTGAAAATGTTACCATCGGAGTCCTACGGTGAAAACGAACTCACTTATGTCTACACAAAAGCAGTATGTCATGTTTATATTGTAGATAGATTCACAAACTGCTAGATGGAACGATGATCAGGCTTTGCCAAACATGTTGCCGTTATAGTTTTCACTCAATCTGGGTTTTTCAGTAAATGCCGCTGGATAGTGGAATTCCATGTTTTGGTTGTCGTTTTTGATCTGCAAGACAGAGTACCTTGTTCTTTTTGAGGGATAGTTTTGTTTCTATTGCTGGGAGGGACCTGCTGTCTTATCATTTCCTCAATCTACAATTCCTACCAATTTATTCGACTTTCCTTCCAAAAATATTCCTGTTTTCTTAAGATTGAAAGGTTCTAATCGCTACAAACGTACCTTTCGGTTAACTATCCTTTTCCAAATAGATCGAAGTTTATGCCTATTGTAACAAAAACCGCCCAAAAAGCAAAAAGTTAATTGCAAAAAATGACGGGATAAATCGCTGCTACAAAAATAAACCAATTAACCCTTGTGCGTTTTCATAATTCTCTTAATAGGAAATTTTAGGGGAGCGATTCTTCCTTCATGTTCTGTTCAGGAGAGCAATTCATAGCTCGCCTCAAATTGCGAGGGGAGCGTGGAGGCGAGTGCGAGCTATCGCTCGCCTCAAACGGCCAGGCCTGTCAGCCAGGCCTTGTGAGGAACAAAAAGCAGGCACTTGACAAATTGAGCGCCTTCAGTTTTCTAGGTGCTCATTTGCGTATCATCAATGAAAGAATTTTGGTTTTTTCGAGTTTAGTTTTTAGACAGCATAAACACCCTAAGTGCTCAATCAATCTAGCTCCTAGAACTTTCTAGGCTCCTTGTAAGGCCTGGTAACAGATAGAGACTACAATTACAGTGCGAGTATTTGTCAACTTACCACCACTCCATAACCAATTCATAAGGGAAGGAATACCATGTCTATGATTTTTGGGATTTTGTTAACTTTATTTGGAATCTGTGACATCTCTTGTAACATAAAAATCACATTTGGCGGTTTCAGCAATAACAAATTTAAAAATGTTTAAAGGTTCACAAATTTGTTAAAGTGCTTATTATTTTTATGAGATGGTGTTTGTAAGACAGGAATGATTTTAGTGAGGGAGAGTGTTTAGCTATTTCCAAAACAGTGCTGTTTACTTTCAGGTTATGCAAATGAGGTAGGGGAGGCATTTCGATCCTTAGTACCAAAATCATTGGTGGTTGCTAGCTATGGAGTTGCCTCACTGTATGCTGTTTCTGATGCATCAGATAAAGCATACAAATCCTACCAGGTATAATTTTTTGCTGTTTCTATTTCACCTTTTGATAAAGAGACTTTCTAACAGAGAAAATTTCTTTAAACCTGGCAAGTCTGACACAAGATGCATCAGTCTCTACTCGTTCAAGTTTGGAGAAACAACTGAGTTTCAAGTGGAAACAATAATCCAATGAATTAAGTAGAACAATAAATATCCTACATTAGGAGCATTAACTTCACAGGTATCTGATTTAAGCAAATTGATTATGTTCTCATGTATGCATTGGCAATATTTCAAAGTCAATTTGGTGTTTGATTAGACACTTTCGCTGTTTTCAATGAGGTTTCAAACATTACAGAACTCCATCCCTATCTTTTTAAAATCAATCTCACTATATTAGCAAAAAAAGTTCCACATCCTACAAAATGCAATCGTAATATTGACTATTGTTTTACTCTAAAAAATATGCCAAGCAATGTCAAATATTAATGAAATGTCAAATATGATTGTCACTTTGTTTTGATATTGTAGAAAAATGGAACAAATGAAAAATTGAGAAACCAAAAATCAGTTGAGGTTTTTCTTGAGGCAGCCGTTTGGCAAGCACTTGCCTCAGTGATTATCCCTGGATTTACAATAAACAGAATTTGCAGATTGTCAAGCTTATCTTTGTCAAGAATTGCATCATCACTGTCACTTAGCACAAGAAACAAAATCACAACATCCATTGGTATGGCAAGCATACCATTGATAATAAAGCCAATTGATAGGTAGGTAAAAAACACGGCACATTGTGATGCAGGACTGTAGTTTTCCAGAATGCAAAATTTTAGGCCTGTCTTAAGGCTTTATTGTACTATCACTTTATCTTGCTGCACTAAACATCCTAGTCAAATCTTTACTTTTCCACATGCCCTGATTTAGAAAATAATGGATTGTTCTATAGAAGTAATATATGAAATCCAAGTAAACAGTATTGATCAAAATAGGAATCCTTCAAGTATTTTAGATTTTTTCAAAACTCAATTTTATTCAAAACAAAAAATAAACAAATTTGATCTTGCCTCTCTCGCTTATTAGTCGTCTCTCCCTTTCCCATGTTAGGGTCTAGCTATAGGCAGATGAGCCTGTCCCTAATATAAACTAAAATCAAGAGTTATCCTTGAAAATCTTTTATATTTCAGGCTTGTTGATTCTGTGATGGAGCAAGCGGTTCCAATCACCAGGAGCATTCTGCTCACAGAATCAGTGATTGAAGAAAGTATTCATGCTGCAGTTGAAGGACGAACAGAAACGTTTGGAGAATGGAGGCAGTAGTGCACATTCATTTGGACTCTAAGACATGCTTGTTGAATTTGTAACTTTAAATATAAATTATTGGTGTGGGGTCTGTTCTTCCTCAAATTGGCAAAAGGCTACATAAAGTTCTTTGACTTTAATTATGGTATTTAAATTTCATTACATTCATGAAGTAATTTTAGATTTGTTTTATGCAGAAAATGTCTTAAATTTAGAAAAATATTGTATAGAAGGTGGCTCACCTTGCAAAATGTGCGGAAATGATAGATAAGTGAATAATTGGTGTGTATAGTTTTTATTCATGACATGAAAGTGATCTTCAAGTCACAATTTCTCTGTGTTTTCACTTTCATTTTTCATTTCTTTTCTTACCAACTTCTATTGTTTTGAATTTTTAGTGCTAAGTGCCTGCTGACTTGATTTATTGTTTACATTGACAAAAGTCAAAGGCGTTGAGGTAAACAGATTTCTATTTTCGATTGAAAAAGTTTTCTATTTTATTTTTGGTATTTACTCCAGAACCCTTATAACCAGCCTCAAGCATTTTGAGCGTTGAATCGAGGGAGGAGATAAAACATCCTTTTTTCATAGTTTGATGTGTTAAAAACAATCATCATTAGTTATTAAAAAACATAAAATCGATCTTTAGTTGATTTCTGCTTACTTATGCAAAGGACAGGCAATGCGTGAAACAAACAGTTCTGTATCTTGTCGATTATTTAGGTTAGCGGAGAACGGAAGATTACTTTAGCAGTAGAACTGTACAGTCACCTTTTGTATTTCGAGCTCTTTGGGAGATCGTAAGAACGTTTGAATTACAAAGTGCTGGATATAAAAGAGTTTTTCAAAAATAGTTGATTTTCCTTCTTAAGTTTTCCCAAAGTCTTACTTTACTGCCTTTGTCCGCATAATCGCAAGTTGCACAGCAGTTGTAGAAAGAGTCGCTAGCACGCATCTTTATGCCTGTTCGGCATAGGGGTAAGCAAGATTCCGCGAACTTAGTTGTCTCGTCTCCCCAGCAAATAATCGCAGAAGGCTCGAGCTAGAAAGTTTGTTTCCTCTGGGGTCTGACTGGTCGAATTAGAAAAAGTTTTATTTATTTGTTTGAATTAAACAGAGTTGACTTAAGATAATAGCAGAGAGAAGTTGATTAGCCGCTCGGAGCAAGTTGTAATTTCACGGCCACTAACATACATCCTATTTTACATTGGTGACCGGAGTGGGGTATCTTAGGTTTCTTCAGAAAGATTGTGCAGTGTCTCGTTGACAATTTACGTTCGAGGAGATCCGATTTAAGGGGGGACAACTAGGGACAGTTTCCCCTCCCTCAACGAGTTAAAGCAAGTCTAGCGCCCCTTTTTGGAAATTTTGCGCCCCTTTTGAAGAATCAGGTGAAAAAGTTTCTGAGACCTATAGGTTTATTTACTTCAAGGATTACCTCAAAGTTATATTGTTTATTCTGAAAAGGTATCTGAAATTCGTATACAGCGTACTCTCATAACCAGTTTTTGAAAAATTTTCAGCGCCCCTACTACCAACTGCCCCTCCTTCAAATTTGCTCTGGATCTGCCCCTGAATAGCAATAAGTTACATTTAACTTGGAAATAACTGCATAGATGATTACAGAAAGAAGAGATCGCAATTCCTTGTATTTCTCTTCACGTGTTCTCGCATACATTTAATTTTACAAAATGGAGCTTCGTATTTTAAGGGAAAAACCCTGCTTAATTTTTCTGTAGTTAAAATACACACAATGCGAGAACCGATGATTTCTTTGGCGGTAATTCTAGATTTCTTTGTGTCATGGAATTTACGAAAGACGAGGTTGAAATTTTTTCCAAAATGTTTTCAGCGGATTTTCATATTTATAGTTACCTATCTTTCCTAAATCGCATTTGAATCTAGTTAGGGAAAACTTTAGCACCTAAGTATCCCTATTGCCTACGTCCTTGTACTTGTTTACACATTCTGTTACAATGTCATGCATCTGTCCTATTTGGTCGCCTCTATTGCTCAGATGTTTCATTTTGCCAAGACAGGTTTTGCGAAGTAAAAGTCAAAGACTTTCTATCTATACCAGTTAGTTTGGGGTGTCGCCGTACACAAATTGTTATATCCCAGACCCAGCCCCCACGCAGTTGAGTCCCTTGCGGGCTTTTCTTTAAATATAAGTCGTGTTTTTTGCTTTTGCTGTTGTTTCAATGCTCAATTTCTTGTAACATGTATACATAAAAATGTATGATATAAAATGTAGAATTTGAAAATAAAAAATTTGTGCTCTCCATGTCATTTGTTGCGTCAGACCTGTCAAAACGAGGTTGCCCTTTACGTCGTACTCCGATCAACAGAAAATGGCGTCGTACGCAGGTAGTGCCGAAGAAAGGTCGACTTTTGCTTCCGACTCTTCCAAGAAAGAGAGTGATAATGAACAGAATAGTAATTTTGAATGCAACATATGTCTGGATGTAGCTCGAGATGCTGTTGTTAGCCTATGCGGACATTTGTTTTGGTGAGTTCTTGCTAAGCAGTATGAATTTGACTTTATATGGGCGATCATATTGTGATGTTTTTAAAATAAATGCGATTACATGTTGGTTCGTTGTTGCCTTATTACCAGCTGAAATTTTTTCGCTTGACTATGTGTCTGTTAGAATTATTGAATACATCATAATTCATTTTGCATTGACATTGATCTTTTTGGTAAAATCTTCATTTAATAATGCTTTGTTTACGCTCTTTCAGCTGGCCCTGCCTACACAAGGTAAGCATTTGCAAACATTTTATTCCAAACTCGTTTCTTTTAGATATGTAAATTTTGAGATGTAATTGACGAGGATTGTCTATCGATTATATGCACAACCCTGTTTATTATAAACAAAATCAGCTTTATTTTTTATTGCGCTGCGCTCAAAGTCACTTTAGAAGTCTGTCTTCCCACTTATGTTTTCCTTTTTTATCTTAGCCATCAATTACCACCAGCCACTAGTGCCAGAAGTAGCATTCTGCTTAGTGCAGGGACCCTGTTAGCCATGGGGGGCATCTTCGTTGCATTGAGATGTATCTTCAGAGCAGTGTGACCAGATCTAGCATAATATAATGCTTTCAGCATAATATTGACCAAAATTCGTCATTTAGCATAAAATCTAGCATAATTTGGAATCTAGCATAGCTCTGGGATAATTTTGATAGTTTTTAAAAAATCGCTGTTTCCATTGATCTGTTGTCTATCACCACCAAATGGAATCACTTTACACAAGAATGTGTGACTTTCCACTTTCAGGGTTTAGCCAGGTGTTTGGAACGGTTGGCAGCCAAAAAATTTTATGGTTGGCAGCCAATTTCAGCCAGCTAAATTTAGTACACAAAAAAGCTAAATTATTGACAATTGCGGGGAGTGATAGTGTAATCAAAATTTGCATTGTAGGTTACAAAGCTTTCATTTACTTTTATCTTACATTGTCTGTTATCTTTTACGTTGCTTCATGTTTCTTTATTTGCAATTTTGAAATCATTCTAAAACAAATTTGAATATCATCGATGTAAAAAATTTATTTTCCTTTGCATTTTTTGTGATTTTTTGCAACATGCTGCCAGAATTCTGCCAACTTTTGCTTCTTTGGCCAAATCAATTTATGACAGCCAAGGGGTTAAGAATTTGGATGTCAAAACAATTAATCTAAATTGCCTTTTTGTATAGAAAAGATGGCAATTTTGAGTACACTGTGTTTTAGATTGGGGGTCAAAAAGGCCATATGGAAACTTTGGTCACTTTTGATATTCTGAGCATCCTCTAGCCTTATTTACAAGCAGGGGTGCCTTGATTTGAAATTTAGCATAATTTTTGCAAATCTAGCATTATTTTATGACAAATTTGGTATAATTCGAAAATTGAGATCTGGTCACACTGCTTCAGAGCTGTGCATAAATGTTAAGGAAAGGTTTCAAAACACTAAGAACAAATGGTACAATACCAACTTAAAGTAAAGTGATACAATAAAGTCCATGATAGCTCTAGGGGCTGCTACACAATAGTGTATTTCATAGTTTTTTCATCTGGTCATGTTGAAGTGGTGCTAGTGGGCAAGGCTGGAAAACTTGCATCTGCTTGCATCTACACTTGATTTCTGGTGCTCACACCCGACCCAAAAGTCGAAGCCCAAAAAATTTTTGAAGCCACATGTTAGTCTTTTGGTATCAGTATATATATTTTAACATATAATTTAATCAAGCAGGTATCAGATTTTTCATCATTTTTAATCTTTGCTTTTTATGAAAGTACCAATTATTTTTTCTTTCTTTTAGTGGCTAGAAACACGACCAAATAGATCAGTTTGTCCAGTTTGTAAGGCTGGCATCAGCAAAGACAAGGTTATTCCACTTTATGGAAGAGATAATCCAAAACAGAAGGATCCAAGGTAAGGCCAACTTTATTCTCTTTTCTCCTATTTTTCCTATTGCTGTATAAATTTTGAATTTATCAAAAATAATGTTTTTCTTAAGTTTTATTTAAGAAATATTGCAATTGATACAGTACAGTAATAATAATTTATCAAATAAAATAAATTATTTATGAAAATGTAACAAACTGCAACAATGTATGAAAATGTAACAAAACATGTCTATTTAAAAACAAATAAAAACACTGTGTGATTCATTGCTCCTTTTGTTTGAATTTGAATTTGTTTAGAAAATAGCTGACTAATTTGAACTGGAATGGAAGAATTTTGTTTTTATTGCTTTTAGGCACCTATCTTGGTCAAAGTTTTCCTCTGATACAAATACCAGATCTAAAAGTTTTGTTAATCAAGTTTTAAACAAGCCGGAAAAATTTTACAAATAAAATAATAATTTTATTTGTCAAAAATGAAAATGCAATGTTAGCTTATCTCCTCAACAGAATCCAAAAGAATACTTGAGGCAAAAAAGATTAATGTAATGGAGTATCAATACCGATTATCAGTTTTATTTTATTTTATTGTGTTTATTCTTGGTGTGTTGTGGAGTTTCTTCTTTCACCCAATAATTCTGTTGTTTGACACAAAATGAAATCAACCAAATCTCATTGGTTGACTATATTTGGGCTGTCCATGCCCCTTTCAGAAGACCCACTTATAAACTGTTTTTTTTGCAAAACTAAATTAGAAAGTAAGTTACATGTGAAATTTTTTTCAGGGAAAACCTACCTCCAAGACCACAAGGACAAAGACCAGAACCTGAAAATAATTTTAATGTAAGTAACAAATACAATTCATCTGATTATGAGTTCATGTAAAGCTGATTTCACAATGGACACGTCACGGTGCATTGTGTCACATCATGCTTTTCTTCATGCTATTCATGCACGATGTGTCATTGAGGGCACATCATTGTTTTCCAATGCAGTTTCCTCAACAGGAAGACGATTCTCTTCAAGCATCCATTAGAGGACCCAAATTTTCATTGTTATTAAAGATTTTGAAGGTCTACTACAATTAGTTAAATGTCTGGTTTTACGAATTCATGGGATTTTCCTTCCTGCCAAAATTCAAGGGAATATTAAACAGCTTAATTTTATCAACACTTCTCGTATTTACATGAATTGAATCCCTCGCAAGTACACCTTTGGAAGGTATCAAAGCTTAACGGAAATGATTGAAATATTTTTTACCAGAACGAAACATACAATGACTCAACTTCATTTTTGAATTGAAAATCAACAGGGCAACTTTATTCTATAATTTGCTGTGTGCGCTGAAAAATTTGCTGTGTGCGCATAACTGCCTAAAATCGCTAACCATATTTGGTCATCATCATGATGTGTCACAACACATCCAGTGTGAATTCACTTTAAAGGAGCTGTGTCACAAGGGACATCCTGCATGGCCACACGCCAGTTTGCGAAAGTTGTTTGGGTCAAACAACCTGCATCCAATAGGAAAACATATATGGAATAAAACAGTTATTTTATTCGTGCTCATCATGCTAAGCTTTTGCATTTTTGGATGTTTTATGAAAGAAAACGAATAATAAAGGTTCTTTCTTCAGTCTTATCACCATATTTCTTTGAATAAAGGATGGAGATGCAAAAAAACAAAGGCTACTTTACGGCTAAGATTCCGCAACTCGCAGGGAGCTGTTTATAGAAATTGGCCGAAATGACACCAAAAAACCTACCTTACCGATGAATATTATGAGCCAAAAACATTATTAAAGTTTGCTGGAAAAATTTTAAGTAATCATTTTGTTGTTGAATGTCTAATTCCATCTAAACTCACCAAGACAAATGAAATATCTTTGCCATGATTGAATGAAGCTTCATTTCCTTAGCCTAGACCAAATTAACATACACTTATCGTTTTGATTGTCGGTACATATGCTGAAATATAGCATTTGTCCATTCCATGTATGATAAATATGCTCAGAAAATACAATTTATCAAGCTTATCGATGCATTGGAGCACCATCCGCCATTAACCCAATGTGAAAGTCAGGCTAAAAATGCACAATGTAACGTGTATTTGGTTTGTTTACAAAACCCTGACACAGCCCCTTTAACAGTCGCATTGTGTTTCCCAGTAGCAAGCATATAGGCACATGCTTTGCCAGGGCTGCAGCAAAAAAAGAAAATAGGAGTGAGGGTTCCCTGAAAACTAGGGGTGGGGGTTCCAGGTAGCCCCCAAAAGTGATTTCAGGGGTAATTTCTCAAGAAAATGTTTTGGCAAATTATTCCCTTGTTCATGCTCTTTGAATGATTTTTTGAAGTTGATACCACAAAGATATCCACTCAAATATTATCACAGACAATACACAGAATATTTTGAAAAGAAACACTAGTGCCTAATTGTTGGATGTTGCATCCCCCTATAGCCTGATGGCAAATTTATTAATAATTGGAGTTGCTATTATTTCAGGTTTTATGTTCCAGATTTATTCATTTGAATATTTTTTATGTATTTGTAGATATATACGTTTATCTGTTTCTTCCAAACAGCCTTTCCAGGGTTTTGGTTTTGGAAATGGTACAGGTGGCTTTCAGGTCTCCTTTGGCATTGGGGCTTTCCCATTCACATTTTTATCAACTGTAAGTTCATATTTTATCAGTTCTTTCATTTGAATTCACACCTATAGATACACAGATTATGCCATACAGTTTACTTATTTTGCCCTTTATCTTACTGCTTTTCAATTTTTTACTTTGCAACTCAACACTGATTATTTTTATAGTAGTTTCCCTTTTTATACTTTATACTCTCAACCTTCACTTGTGTCACCGTGCTACTTATTTCAATTTCCTTTGCTTGTATGTAATATATCTAGAGATCTAGGTCTATTCTAGGTGTATTTAACATCTAACACATTTCTGTAATACAATCGCTATTCCTTTCTGCATAAAACCTTTTTGGCTCCATGTTCTATGTATATAAAACAAGCTATCCTTGTTATTCAAGGTATGGCATACCATCACAAACCACTATTTTCGAAGTGCATGATTCTCCTTCTTTTTCTTGGTTTGATATCATGCACCTTATCTTATACTTCTATGATTCTTGTACAAAGAATCCTCCATTTCAAGAAGATATAATCAAAGTCTCAAGAGAGCTTTTAGTTATCTCTGATTGCAACAAAGATCTCTGACTGATAATCTTGTAAGGAAATGTTCCTTTTAATCCTTTAGACATTTGGAAATGGCAACAATGGACAACAAAGTAAGCTTCAAATTCCTTGTTTCCTCTTCAAATTTAAAGTTAACTTTACCCTCAGCTATATTTTATTTAATATTTTAACTATTTCTAAAGGGTGAATTATTTCCCTTGATCACTTTTCCATTCCAATCACATCACTTACACCCTTATCAATTTAAGATTGAGAAAACAATGCACACCCAATTAGAGAAACCAAACAACTTTTCCAAGAACATCATTTTCATCTTGCTGCTTGAACTATGATTTGATGATGGTAAATTTTTGTTTGTTTTTAAGATTTAGTTTCATGTTTCTCAAAAGATCCACAAATGAGATTTGAATTGTGGCAAATACCACATCTTAGCAGCATATCAACATATTAATTAATAATTTTTTGTTCAATTCAGGAAATGCGGACTCACCACAAGCTCAAGAAGAAGTCTTTCTTTCAAGGTTATTTTTATGGATTGCACTACTGTTTCTTTTTTGGCTGCTTTTTGCTTAAGGGTTGTAAATGAATGTTAATCTCAAGACTCAAGCCTTTGTATAAACAGATAATATGTAGACACTTAAACAGAATCAGCGGAGATATAAAAATGGCAGCCTCCACATTTATGAATTGACAACCAATTGTTTTGAAACAATTGTTTTGAAACATCTTTTAAAAATCCCATACAGTTATGTTATAAGAAGTTTTAACAGCCATGGTTTATATCCATTTATTCCCTGTAATCTTTGCACCATCGTTCTAACACCATTACTACATCTTAACCCAGTTTACCAGGTTCTATCCATCAGTAGTTTGAATTATTCAGTTGGTAACATTTCCGTTTGCTTTTGACAATGGCATTAAACATGGTATTTTTAGGCCACCTAGAGGTTTTGTCGTGACAAGTTAACCACTATGTTAATCAAATTAATCTTCCCTAGCTTTGAAAGCTTCATTGACATCACAGGGTATTTGTCGTCTATCTAAAGTCCCTATTGACAGTTTAGGACCAATAAAAAACTCTGATTATTTTATTATTGAAGAGGGGATTTTTGTGTGGTGAAAGCCCAGAAAAATTTAAGGCATATACCTATGTTTTCTTATTACCCTCCATTTCACAGAATATTGCATATCTGATAGTGAAATGATGTGCCACATATCAGCCCTGAATTTATGTTTTGCTGGATAAAATAACCACACTTGTTTTCGTAATTCATGAGTTTTATTACTTTCCTACCTCCTTCTTTCCTATGTTTCTTCAATTGTTTTTTTCTTTTATCTCCCTATTGCATATTGTTTTGTTTCTTTTGCAGTTCTTTCCTGTTTTCTTTTTGTTCTTTCCTTTGTTCTATCCATTGTCCCATTCACCCCATTAAATATGGAACTCTTATTTCACTCTCTAATTATGTACCCTCCCCCGAATCAACTTACACTGCACATACAGTACTCCATTTTTTAATATCACCAGCAAAAGGCCCCAATCAAGCAGTAATATTTAAAATCAGCTTTAAGTTTGCTCATGGCGTTGATTTACGTTAATTGTCTCTAATCTCAAACTCGTTTTGTGTTGAAACTTAAACAAATTCGTTAATTTAAGTCATAGTCAATAGATTTATTCATGTAGTCTTAATTTTTCATTGCTTAAGGTTGAATTTCTCGTAAAAAGAACTAGATTTATGATTATATATTTAAGCAGCGTATTACCTATAGTTGATAAGTGGAAATTGAAGTCTGGATTGTGAGTCGGTACATGAAGTAAAACCGTAAGGGCTTTGGACAGTCTAAAGGCAAATAAGACATTTGATGCAAGAAAGCCCTGCTTTGCGTCTCGTAATCTTATCTTTACGGAAACTTGCTTGTAGCTGTTAATCACAAACTTCATATAGATCAGTAGCTCTAACTGTTTGAAATTAATCGATTTATTCTGGAGTATTAAAACATACTTTTAACAACATGTTCTTGTTGTTTCTTTTAATTCGGTCGACTTTGGAACTCGTTATGATTGACCAGGTATCGGTTTCGTTTCAAGATATTTTTCCTAATAAAATATGATGTTGCCAATAGCAAGACCAAATTAACTACCCAAAAAATGGCTATTGTGTTTTCCCAATCAAACATCCCATAGCCACCCCCCCCCCTCCCCCCAAAAAAACCACCCTCCAATTGGTCAGCCAAATTAAATCCACAGGTACATGGTGATACTTTGATTCGAAAATTTTTACCAGTACTACTTTTACCAGTACTTTGATGAACATAAAAATAATATGAAAATGCTTTGGAAAGGCATAAAAAATATAATAAGCATTAGACCCGGAAATTCTGATAGCATTAGGTTCTTAACGGGTGAAAATGGTTCCAAAATCACAGATCCAGTGAAGGTACCAAATGAATTTAATAACTATTTTACTAATGTTGCCGATAACATCACAAAGAAGATCCCAAGAACATCAAAGTCTCCTTTAGATTACTTGACCAATCCTAATTTGGACTCATTCTTCATATCCCCTTGCAGCAGAAGAAATCTCCTTACGAATTCAATCTTTGAAAAATGATAAATCCAGTGGGCCAAACAGTATTCCAGTCAAGCTACTAAAAATTCTTGACCTGCCAATCTCAAAAGATCTTGCTGTTTTAATAAACGAATCCTTTTTGAAAGGAACCTTTCCTGTAAAACTAAAAATAGCCAAGGTTATTCCAATCTTTAAAAAAGGACTTGCCACCAGTAAATCAAATTATAGACCAATTTCACTCTTATCTATTTTCAGCGAACTATTTGAAAAATTAATGCACCAACGCCTATCTCAATTTCTTGAAGTCTGTGAGGTATTATTCTGCATGCAATTTGGTTTCCGCACAGGTCACTCGACTGATCATGCTCTTATTAGTTTAACTGAAACTATAAAATCTTCTTTGGATAAAAACAGGTTTGGCTGTGGAATTTTCATTGATCTTCAAAAGGCTTTTGATACAGTTAACCATGATATACTTCTAATAAAGTTGGAACATTATGGTATCAGGGGCACTGCTCTAAGTTGGTTTCAATCTTACCTTAGTAACCGCAAACAGTTTGTTTCAATAAATGGCCATTCTTCTTCTGTCACAGACATATCTTGTGGTGTTCCCCAAGGATCAGTTATTGGGCCTCTGCTATTTTTAATCTACACCAATGACCTACCAAATTCATCACAGTTCCTATCTTTTTTCCTTTTTGCTGACGATACCAACATTTACTGTGACTCTGATAACCTTCAATTTCTAACCAAAAAAATCGACAGAGAACTAAAGAAAGTTAAGCTTTGGCTTGATTCAAATAAGCTTGCACTAAACATTGGAAAGACAAACTTTGTACTCTTTCACTCCCCAAGGAAGAAATTGTCAGAATTCACCAAGGTCAAAATTGGTAAACAGTATCTTCAAAGGACTAAGCATGTAAAATTTCTAGAAGTTCTCATGGACGAACATCTGACTTGGAAGTACCACACAACTGAGCTTTGTAAAAAACTTTCTAGAACTGCTGGTATTTTCTTCAAAGTGCGGCATTATGCCCCCCTTGCCTACTCTTGTCTCTCTCTACAACTCACTTTTCTTCTCCTTCCTCAACTATGGTATATCAGCCTGGGGATTGACTTACGAATCCTACCTTAACCCACTCTTTAAACTTCAAAAGAAAATTCTTCGCTGCATTAAATTTGAACCCTTTCTTTCTCCTAGCACGCCACTTTTTCAGTCACTAGAGACTTTGAAAATTGTGGATATTCTGCACCTGAACATCCTAACCTTTGTTTATAAATCTCTTAATAAGCTATCTCCTTCCTGCTTTAATGATTACTTTCAGACAAATTCATCAGTTCATAGAATCGGGACTCGCCAGGCTACAAGAGGCGATCTTTTTAAGTCTATTAAAAATACAACAATGTACGGTCTTCAAACAATTCAGTATTTTGGTTCAAAACTTTGGAACACTATTCCACTATTTATACGTGTTGCTAGCTCTACTGTGGTTTTTCGCTCAAAATTAAAAAGTTACCTTCTTGATTCATATTCACAAAACTAATCTTTAATTAAACACATATGATCTATCCCATAGAGGTTCATCTGGTTCTTGGTTAATATGTAATGCCTTTGTTTTTCAAATAATTTTTGGTTCTTTGTTTTTTGTTTCTTTATGGGGGGGGGGCTCTCTCTCGATTAGTTTACCTACTTAGAGAGCTCCTCCTCAATCAGTCAATCTTAAATTCAATCATGTAAAGTAATTTTTTTTCACTTGTTTTTAAAATTGTTAGTTTTTAGTTTTTAGTGTTGTAATGTATCTTAGTTGTAGTTTTGTGTATGAATTGTATTTGGGATTGATTGATAATGAATGAAATGAAAATGAAATGGAATGAAAATTGAACATATCCGCATACCTGAAGTCTTCCTTTAAAGAGAATTTGGTAGAGCTCGAAGTGATCTTATTGTTTTCATTATTTGAAAAAATGGATTTGAAAAAAGCAAACATTTTACAACATACTTAAAGCTTTTTCGTCTGACACTCCTCAGAGCATAAAATGTCAGAATAGGTTCCGAAAAAACACGTTTGAAAAATATATACCCAGTTGTGGATCGAAATAGGCCAATCAGAAAAACGCAAGCACAAGACCGGTATAGTTGACCAATCAGTATCGCGGCACTGATTGGTCAACTATACCGGTCTTGTGCTTGCGTTTTTCTGATTGGCCTATTTCTATCCACAACTGGGTATATATTTTTCAAACGTGTTTTTTTCGGAACCTATTCTGACGTTTTATGCTCTGAGGAGTGTCAGACGAAAAAGCTTTAAGTATGTTGTAAAATGTTTGCTTTTTTCAAATCCATTTTCAAATTCTGTACCGCAAAAAAATTGTTCATATTTGAAAAAAGGAAACATTTCGAACCTTTCATGAGGTGTGTTAGGAAATTGTTGTTTTGCTCCTTTTCAATTTTATGTGCTTCCATCAGTTTTATAAGCGTTGTTTTTTAGCCTCTGTCGCAAAATTTTATGTTATGATATTTTATATTGGCGCGCTCTAGGCCATCCAGTAGTCCACCTTAGTACTACAGACCACACGGGGCTCCAGTAAAACAATTGGTTATGGCCTTTTTAGTTTGACTTCCAAATTTAGTAGAAACATTGCCAATCCAGGGCATTTTTAGATATACTGGGCACTTTTCAGGACCAAACTTTTCCTTGCCGAGAAACTAGCAACTTTTCCCTCAAAACAGGTCGAAATGAAATCACGTGAGTAGCCATTATCCAGAACAATATTCTTAATTTTGTCAAGCTACGGACCCAGTTTAGTCTTGAGTGTTCTGTGCCAGGCCAGTATTGTAGAACTTTTCGTAACAATGCCCCTGATTGGTCAGTCTTCATTCTAGGCAATTCCCAGGTTGTCTACAAAGGCGACCCCAAACCTTTCCGAGGCGCCAACAGTGGCGAAGCTAGCGGTCATGCTGGTCATGCTGAGCATGACTAAAAATTTTTAGAGCTAAAGACATTAATTGTAACGAATAAAAATTTCCTTTATTGAAAAAGTACTTTCAAGACCCCTTTCGTCCAGTGTATTCTTATTATTCTACTGCCCTTCCCCACCTTGGTCCCTTGTGGTTAGTCATGCTCATTCTGAAGAACATGACCTGCCATAGGGTTTCTTTACTCAGAGAGCCCAACCGCTCCTGTGGTTCGGCTGAGTTTCAATGACTTTTCAGTTGGTATTGTAAAACTAAAGTATTTTACAGGACAAGTAAAGCTCATAAATCAGACTCCAGTTTGCAATAACGTTTTTAAAAAAACCAAGATTCTTCAATAGCGATCGTATAATCAGCAGCAACCAACAATTACGATATGACGACTTCATTCAACGGAAACTTCGACTCGACTGGACTTGCACTCAAAGAACATACGCTTTTAACAACACGAGTGACGCACATAAAACCCTAATGACACAAATTAACGGCAAATGAACTAATAACAACTAAAATAGAGATGGCACGATGACAAACAAAATTACTGACGCAAACATCGAAAGACATTCTCATTAACAATAACGAACCACAAACACGATGCACGACAGACAAAACTAGTTGTATAACAGTATCCCTGTGGTAAGTCATGCTCATTTAGAATAGCATGACCTCGTCATTATAATCATAAACCTAGCACTGATTTGATTGGCTGAATTCAATTTCGCGCATGCTATTTTGGCCCGTTTCGGACCCCAAGTCATGCTCACTTTTTTCAGCATGACTGACCTAAATCTCCCATCCCATACATGAAGTACCTAATGATCACTCTTATTTTATTTCTTATCGTCTTATTTCATGAGACGCTCTTATTTTTTATAGAGTGTGTCTGGTACACAGGGTATGTTTTCCTAGCATGAAAATTTAAAAATAGGACCCCAAATGTGAAAATTGATGACGTCATAATTTTAATGAAACTTTACAAAGTATTAAAGCTGCAGCACAAAGTTGGCCTTTGTTTCTCCCAAAAAATTCAGACAGGGAAATAGCTGCGAAAAACAAACAAATTGCCTAAACTCAATTTTTTTCGGATTTCTACATTTCAATGTCTAAAGATCGATTTTCCGAGATGGGCCTTCAAGAATTATTTTTAGATTGCACGTGATTCATGATGTCATAAATAAAAAATAATTCAACAACAAAGCTAATATCTCTTGTAATAAAGGTCTTATAACAAAAATAATTGCATATTCGGATAGCTGGTGCCACGAGTCACTCCCAGGTGATGACTGGGAGAAGTGCAGTAGCTGCTCAAGGTGGTTCCATGAAGACTGTTGTACCTCATTTCCAACAGCAGACTTCAGATGTGATATCTAGTTATAGTTCAATGAATTTTTCATTAGGTATACAAATACAAACTGGACACTTGTAGAAACCTGATTCTTTTTTCCCATGTTTGATGCTTATATTGAGGGC